TGGTTCAGGCATTCACGCGCAGTCCTGCAACAGTGGATGGAGAGAGGGGCGGAAAGTTTCGGCTTCTAGAAGGAAACGTCTTTGGAGAATTCACAGAGCTGGTGAGGCTGACTTTTTTATTCTGGGAAAAATACATTTTTACCCAACAAGTGTATCGTTACCGTATTTTCACGACTATAAGGCGCACTTAAACGTCTTTTTTTTCCCTCAAAATGTGCGGTGCGCCCTATGGTGCGGTGCGCCTTATGTGTGTTGTAACTGCGACTTTTGAGACCACCTCATTGAGGAGATGATGAAAGAGTGGCTGAATGTAAGGAGACCAGGTGTTTTTTTTCCACCCCTCACCATCGCTGTTAATATGTAACTCCATGCGTGCCCATCTCACAGCTGATGTGAAAAACATGGGGAAACAAATTAACGCTGCTCGACATCGGTGTGAACCGGACCCAGCAGGTGCAGCAGAAGCAGCGTGTTTACATGCAAAGTCAATGGTTGACGCGCATATAGGTGCAGCAAAAGGTCCCGCAGCGCATTTTGGTGCAGCACGTCGGGAGCGTTTAAGCATCTGAAGCGCCGCGCTTCTGCTGCTCGAGATGGAAAAATTGAAGTTTTGCTGCTGGACGCGCCGCATCAACCAATCAGAGAAGCTGATCTGGGAGCTGCCAGCGAGACAGACAGCGCTCTGATGACATATGATATTAACGCAAATGGAAAAGGCTGGATGGATGCGTGGCTGAGGCAGGTGTATGTGAGAAGACTAGGTGGTTTTTTCCACGCATCACCATCGCTGCGTGCCCATATCACAGCCGATGTGAAAAAAAGGTGAATCAAATGAACGCTGTGCTCGCCGTTATCCCGGGGGTCTGACAAAGGAGCTTCAACCGCTCGACATCGGTGTGAAGCAGCCGTTCGAAGTAAGGCTGCGAGCGGTGTGGGAGCGATGGATGGCCGACAGAGACCACAGTTTCAGGATAAGAAGGCAGCGCCGGGCAGATTACGCCACAGTTTGCGGATGGATTGTAGATGCTTGGACTAACGTGTCTGCTGGCACTGTTGTTGAAGCTTTCGCAAAAGCCGGCATTATTTCTGAGGAGCTGCGCTGCACGGAAAGTGACTGACAGCGAAGAAGGGGAAATTGGCATGTCTGATTTAGCGCAGCTGTTTTATTCAGAGACAGAGGATGATGACTTTGATGGGTTTGATTAATACTTTGTAATAAATACATGAATAAAGCACAATCATACTCAGTTTTGCTCCCGCTGTATTTTTCTCCCTGAAAACTTAATTCAACAGCAGCCTCTGGGCCGGGTCTCCTCCTCTTCACCGCGGTGGCTGGCAGGTGTTTTTTCATCTAAATAATCTAAATCTTGCAGCTATATTTGCTGTGATCAGTGGGAATAAAGTAGTTTTAATATGTTTTTAAGTGAGAAAGTCCACCTGAAAACTTAATAATTGCAGTCAGTTCATCCAGATTATCTATTTCTGTCGGAGGCGCTCAGACCCCCACATACCAGCGGTGCGCTGACAGCAGAAATCTCTTCATCAGCAGCCTGTAGGCTGGGCAGCCTGGGGTTCACCGCGGCTGCTGGCAGGTGTTTTTCATCTAAATAATTTTAGCTGCAGGCACCAGGATACCGGCAATAAAAGCGAACATATTCCGTCAGCAGGTTTCAGGATTTTAAGTTAATTTAGAAGTGACCACAGCGCTGTGTCATCTGCGATGTCTCTGTCTCACGGCCAGCTGCCAGGTTTGATTAATACTTTGTAATAAATACATGAATAAAGCACAGTCATACTCAGTTTTGCCCCCGCTGTATTTTTAAATACGCAGTAGAGGTATTTAAAGGTAGTAGAGGACATGTACCTGTATATAAAAAACGCGCCCTATAGTCCGGTGCGCCTTATGTGTGTGTTAAATACAGAAATGGGACACATAACTGAGAGTGCGCCTTTTAGTCCGGTGCGCCTTATGGTCGTGAAAATACGGTATATCTATACAAATGGTAATGATGAATTCTCTTTGCTTCAGGTACCTGATGAGAAAATAGTTATGAAGTGGAGGTTTAACAACTGGCCCTGTGGTAGGTATTATTGTTTAGATAAAAAAAAAAAAGATATAAAAAAAATAATAAAAAAAGAACACCTCTGGAACTGTTCCATGTCATACCAAAAATTTCACTGTATTGTGTTGATGGGTTTTAAGTGACAGATATCATATTGTTTATCTATATATATATATAAATAGAAAGCTGTTTACAGTATTTTGATCTGATCGCCGAATATCTCAAATTATTTGTGATGATACCAGAAAATTGACTCTAGCACCAATACTCTCAAAAGTGTATAGCGTAAAAGTATCTGCACCATAAAGAAGCACCTTAAACTACGTTTATTTTGTTCCCCTAAAAGTTACTCAAGTAAATGCAGTTGACTAGTTACTATCCACTTACTGCTCTGAGGTCTATAAGGCTAAAGGCTGTTCAGATTTGGCATAGCAGTGTTGTTTTTGACAGGTTTAGATTTCGTGTTAGTTTTTAGATTCAGGACGAAAAGTATTATTAGTCTTAGTCGCATTTTAGTCGTTACGAAATCTAATAGTTTTAGTCGAGTAAAATTAAAAGGTTTTAGTCTAGTTTCAAATAACAACCAGATTCTTTACCAGACTGACAGCTCTTGCCTAGATACAATTGCTGGGTATAGAAAGTGCCCTGCAGTTCATCATTGCTGATTTTTTGAATTAAAATAAACTTTTTTATGAATTAATACCCCACCTAATAAAGAAGTGTCTCACAAAAGCTTTGAAAATAGCAGATCTAGTTCAACACAGCATATTGGTTAATATAGCAGACAGAAAAGTGTACAATTAATGGTTTTAGACACACTAGCTTTCCCTCATAAAACAAAAAACTTCCTGATCTACTATGTATTATTCTTTATATACAGACCAATAAAATCTCCAAATCCTCCAAAAAGGCAAATAACAAAAAAATTCTTCTTTCTATTTTGGCAATACTGACTTTATTTCTAAGAATTTGCCCCTTGGTTACTGATGCTCAGTGGTCAAAGTAGATTTAAATTCACAGTTTTGATATAAAAAAAAATACAGAGAGAACATACCTAATTGCCTTGTAATGCCATGGCAATCTAGACCTAAATATAATGCTAACTAAAATGTTGGCATATTCAAAAGAAACAGAAAATGTTTTAATGAAAATACAAGGAAACATTTACATCATATTTAAATAGAAACAAGAACAAAGAGAGAAATATTCAAAGATCTATGTACCTTTTCACCTGGGTCTCTATCTAAAAATTAACTGTATGCAATAAAGTATTTGCTTTGGATATAATTTAGGGATTCCTTCTGATAAATATTAAAGAAGTTTTTGCATAACCTCTTCTAAGCTTGAAAAAATAAAATCTTGATTGTTAAACAAAATGATTTTTTTACACTTGGTAGAGGATGATCTGCAACATAGTTTAAGTAGTGAGGGCAGGTAAAAGAGAAGAGCAGAGTTTCTGAGAGTTCAGCGCGCAGTAACAGACCATTCCAGCATACTTTTACCCCTGCAGCTGCTCCCATGGATCTGTGGTCATGCAGAATGTGCACCGTTGCAAACCAGGTGGTGGGCATGACCAAACAGGATGCTGCAGCTTGGCTGTTACTGCTTAGCAGATTACAGCACAATGATTAATTTTAAACATCCAACCTGCTAAAATTTTTTATTCAGTCTTGTCCCATCAAAAAAATCTCACACCCATGACTTGTCATGTTTTCATCATCAGAGAACCATGTTTAGCTCGTCAGTTCTTGTTATCGTGAAAAAACTGAGCATCAATGAAATAATTTCGTCATTGTTGACGAAAACAAAGCCGTGGCATATAAGTCCAGAGTTCAATTCCTACCCAGGAGAGAGTTCTTATTGTTGACCGCACAAAAAGATGAAGGCGCTATGTCTTCATGAAACGGTAGGCGTTTTTAGGCTCTTAACAACAGAATAAATTGCAGCTCGACTGTAACGTATGAAGTAGGTCTGATTTTTCTTTCTGCTTTCTGGGTTTTAAAAATGAAAGCTTTTTTTTCCAGCTAATTAAATATCATAATTTCTGGTCTTTCTACCAAACTGTGTCTTTTAAGTTTCAGACTTGATTAGAAATGTAAATTTTCTTCCCTTCAGAACATTACGCAACCATCACCCTGATGTTCTTGGACCGCAGCAGCGAGACAGAGCTGAAAGTGGAGTGCAGAGGCGTCCCCAACAGTGAAGAGGAACAGACAAAAGGCGGCTGGAAGAGATACTACTTTGAAGCTATTAAACAGACTTTTGGCTATGGAGCCCGACTTTTCTGAGAATGCTGTGCTGTAATGTTTTCTTTTTTTTTTTCTTTCTTTTTTTTCCTCTGTTTGGACCAGAACAGTTTTACACTTGTGGAGCGAGTTACCAACACAGACTCCTCCGTCACTGTATGTGTAAATCTTTTCATTTCTGGACAAATCTAACTTGAAAATTCTCCCTCAGTGTTTGGCTCAGTTCTTCAAGAAGAACCTAAATGAACTGTGCTTTTTTTGGACTGGTTGAAAATGTATTGGATATTACAGAATCTACTGAACCACTGATAATTGGCATCAATATCAATTACAAAGTGGCTTTAGATGCTTTAAAATTTAATGTTTTTGTACTTATTGTATTCATTCTGAGTCATTGTAGGAAAGAGGATTTAAACAAAGATGCATGTCTCATTTAAACATGTTGAATAGGAGGGGTTAGGACCTGATCTTCACCACAGCTCATTAAATCCAAGACAAGCATCAATCAGACTTGAAGCAAGTGTTTGTTTTTTGTTTGTTTTTTTTAATGCCTGTAGCAACTTTAATTTGCTATATATGGCTTAAAAATGTAAATATGCAGTAAAATACTCTAAGATCAGAATTCCTCTATTTATTCTTCACATCATAATCCGTTTAAAGAAAAAAAAAAACGTTTCTCAGAATAAACACGTTGCTTTAAGCTCTTGCTTAGTTTTATTGACCCTTTGCATTGGTTTGCACATCACTTTGTTTAAAAAGTTAATTTACAAGTGCTGTAAAACTGGAAACACAACGGCTATAGTTAAATATAGAAAGCACTCACATTTTAAGGATTGTTGCATCATCAGCCCTTGTATAATTAAGGTAAAGAAAAATAGATTTATGTTGGGGTGGGCTAGGGGTAAGCCACAGGGGCAAAAACAAAAGGAAATATTAAATCTTAATATCATAATCAAAACACTAAACCCTTCTATCAACACAAAACTTTATATATTTACTTACATTACCTTATTTTAAGTCACTTAAGACCCCCGTAGCAAAACAAAATTAACTTCCAGGGACAATCTTTTACCAAAGCTTTTCATTTTTTGCAGATTCAACCTGCTGTGGAATTTTTTTTTTTTCCAAAAATAATCTGGCTTTTAATGTAAGCAAACACGTCCCAGCAGTTTCAGCTGATCTGAGATGCAGCAAACCTTAAAAGAAATGTCAACAGGAACTGTGAAGCTAGAGGTCCATGTTATACGCAGATGAAGAGCTCAGACTCCTGGAAAACAGAAAGGGAAGAAGTGAGTTTCTGGCAACCACCAGAGGGTGCATCCATGAGATTTAGTCAACATTAGTGCCTGTGAGATTACTTAGACTCCTCATGGGCATGAATACAATGTATTTTTGTTGGGATCATGTTTGCTCTAAATGCGATAGCAGGAGTGTGTTAAAGTTAAACATTAATGCCAAATCTGTCTAATCTACAGCGATTGACTGCCTGGATATCTGGTCACACATGTCAGAAAACTTAGTTTATTTAGAGGTTTTCCTTGCAAAACACACATAGGCTAATTGTTCAAGAAGGTCAGTGCTTTGTGCAAGGCTTTCCAAAACCAGTTTGAGATTGTTTGAAATCACAGTTAGGTTGGAAAACAGCTGTGTGGTTACATCTACATGAAGCAAAATATAATGTCTAGACCATTAGATGATACTCTGCTCTGATCTCTGTACCTATAACAGGGTTTATACGGGAATGAGCAACTCTAATTTAATGCTCTTAAGATTAATTTTAATGCAACAAGTACCCATGACTCTCATATATACAAAGCAAATTCCTTCTTCATCTTTACTGTCGACAGGCTTCAATTCCTCGATTTCCAGCCACTTTTCTTGAAATTAGCATTTTCCCCATTCTACAGCTTTTTCCCCGCCTTGAGCTTCTTTTCCGAACATACGGCTTAACGATCAGTGGGAAGCAGTTTCGCACAAATATATCGCGATATATTTGCAAATATATATCATTTAAGAAATTGTTTTTCTAAAAAAAATTGTTTTGAATAAAGCATTTTAAATGCCAAAATAATCACATTTAATGAATTTTTAATTTAAAAAATAATTATTTAATGGTTTTTAATGACCCACGGAAACCCTGTATAAGCCTTCCAGTAATTTGCAGCACCTGGCATGGAAGAGCCGCTTAATCTTCTGGTCATTTGTTTTATGTTCAGATGAGGAAAAAATAAATATGACAAAATTTTAAGGAGTCATTGATACAGTACCAACTATAAGCACGGAGGTGGAGGCTTCATGCTTAAGGCTGCATTTCTATGCGGGTTGGATTGTAAAAGCTGAATGTTGATACGGACTTATCCAGCTACATCAATGAGACACTTTAGGCTGTTGGAACTGGTCTGTGATTCCATGCAGCACACTTAAAAGACAAAAAATTTAAAAGTATATGTATCTATGAAGCTGGAAAACTAATTAATTTAAATGTATTATTTTAGTGAGATGAGTGATCAAATATCCAGAGTTTTTCTGAAAAAGCATGCCATGCAAGTAGCATTTAGCTTGTGCGGAATGGAGAATACCACAAGCAGATTAAACCCCTAATTCCTGTTTTTAAAAGTTATGTTTTATATGGTTGAAAAACTTTTCAAATGAACCATTAAAGGTTGAAAATCAATACATTAATCACTGCTGCAGTCTTTAAACAAACACATTTCTTTCTCAGAATTTGTGTTCAGCAACTAGATACGTACACTTGAGCTGGAGTCATTCTCAGGGGGGCCGAGGCTCCTTGGGGTCACCATCTCTCCTGTTCCGGATGAAACGGCCATTTTGTTCCTTTTGGTCCTTCAAAAAAAGAAACTGAATAATGTTGCAATTTTGATTAAAATAGACACCAGTCACATTATTTAAGGATGCATATTAAGCAGCAGGCTAACAAAAGTAGCCAAACGACCCCCATTCCAAAGGGGTGGACCCGTTCGTCGGTGTCAATTTGCATGTTTTCTAAGCAAAAACAAGGCTTTGTTGGGCTGCTGTATAAAGCCCCCAACTCAACGCTATTTATGACATTTTGAATTGAAAAATCTTCCTGGATGGGAAGCAAAACGTCTTCAAACTTGAAAACAAAATCCAGTGGATTGTTTTAAAACGTTTTTTTGTGATGCATATTAAACATAAAAAACTATTATAAGTATTAAAGATTTACAGCTGGAAAAATACATGGTAATTTTTATACACACCCTTTGTAAATGATAAGATTCTTTGAATCAGGACAATAACACGTGGTCACCTGCATATTCAAATTATGTATAAACCCCATTTCAATTGAAAATAACTAACACCATGACACCCTGACAGAAACAATGTGTATCACAGTGGCAATGATGTAATATAATTGCTTTCTGTTTGACCTCATCAGTTTCTTCATTCACATTTTTTTTTTACCAATCACTATAATGCTGCTTTATTACATCCAGAGCAGTCAAATCACCAGTACTTAGTTACTGTCTTAAGTGGTGCTTTTCAGTATCTGTACTTGAGTATTTTTTTATTATACTTTCTACTATTTCCTTTTTTAAAACTGACTCGTTTCTCCTATATGTATAATGCAATGACATAAAAGCTGCAAAAGGAATTGAGGGAAAATCTAAATCGTAAAGAGAATCTGTCGAGTTTGAGCCCAGTTGTTTGTAGAAAAGCCGATATGAATAAAGACAGGGAATTGCTGCAGATTAAGGATGAAAGATCTATCGGTATTGATCATTATAGCTCATATTTCAGCATATCTAAAACTGGAACAATATTAACAGACAGAGTTCATTTCTATGTAGCTGCTTTTTCAGGACTGGGAGGGGAGAGGATTGGTCATGTGGCGTTTATTTGGTCATGTGACAGCGATTGTGATGCAGCTCAGGGTTGTGGGTTTTTAACTGAAGCAGAGAATCGATTTTAGTAATGTAGTCAGTTTTTTCATGGCATCCAATGGATAAGGAACACATCTAGGATATCAAAACTTTTGCCAAAACTATACAATTAATATTACAAATCAATATCTGCCCATATTTTCCGATTTATGTATATTGTAGGTGATGGGTCAGTCGATTTACAATCACGAACTGATGTAATAAGGTTCACAAGCACATAAAATAAAGCAAAATATGCAGTAATAAACATATTGTTTAACACTTTTTTGTATCATATAAAATCAACTACACACATTTCTATATAACATGTGTTTTTGAATACATTTCTTTAGGGTTTCCAAAGAAAGATAAGTAACACACACGCAATCAGGTTTCATTGCTAGTGACAGTTGGCCTAAATACTAGAACATAACGGTGGCTTCCTTATAATGGTTTGTTGCACATTAAAATGATCTGTTGGGAATAATGAGTATGGTCGCAGTTTGTAAAATATCTTCTTGCTTAATGATTTTGCTCTGAAACCAACCATCTACAAAAATACTAAGAGATCCACCAAACCAGCTTGTTTGGTCAAAACCAGGGAACAGGGACCAACCCGCAGCATCCCAAACAAAGGACCGTCCATCTTAGAAAGAAAACTTGACCTACCTGTATAGAGGCCATATATTCATGCCTCTGTTGTCCTTCTGAGTTGCCGTAGATGTGGTTCCTTCTGCCAGGTCTTTGAGAAAATGAAAGAGTTTTTCTGACTCTATGCACTGCTTCCTAAATTAAAGCAAAAAAAAAAATAAATCTTTCTTTTTAATTCACCCAAATTCCCACAAACTCTTTGTTGTGATATGCTGCACAGTCTTTAAAAAGGCTGCTACTTTCCCTAGTTCACTTTTTCTACCATCCTTTTCCCTTCCACTTAAATTTCCATTAAGATGTTTGAAAAAAAAATCCTCCTTATGATCTTTGGGGGCTTATAATGACTGTCAGTTGGACACCTGTCCCATAACCTCTTACACCCTAAGGGGGTATAAATAAATTTCTGCCTGACAAAAACACACAGAAGTAAATAACTTATAGCCTCAAAGCTATTAGATTTAAGAAGAAACTTTTGGTACGTCTGTAAAGGTAAGATGTCATAGAATGGTTTTCTGGTGTCAGCACCATTGTAGCTTTGACCCTGCCTGAAATATTAGGGACAAAATACAAAATATTTTGCATTTTTTGAACCTCGCCAAAATTTTCTTTGAAATAAACATTGCAAAACACTACCAAAATATTATTTATAGCACAAAAAAGTAGTACAGACTTTCAAATCTAAATGTTGTGTAAAAATATACCAAATTTGGACTCAATCAGATGAATCATATTTATTTTAGAATGGTATTAGTGAGAAAATTTCTTAGGCGGAGAGGCCATTTTGGCACATTTATCCATAAATGTCACCAAACTGTGCCAAATATGTTTTTTACATCAATACTGGGGGTTTGGTAAAATTACGAGGTCATGTAGCAGCTGGACCCGCCGGTGGGTCCGTAGGGTTCAAGGGGATAAACAGTCTTTTCTATAATCTTGTATTGTAAATTGGCCAGAATTTCCACTTTAATTTTAATAGTGTATTTGTCAGAGAAACTTAATTTGCACCTTACAGTTGCTGAAGCCAGAACAATAAGCCATAACAATAAAAAACATTAAATAAAGTTTTTACATCTATGTATATCAATATAAGGCCATCTGATATATAAGGCATCGGCTGGGCCCCGAACAAAATATTAGGATATGGGCCCCAAACCCATGACATTCACAGTTTCTATATATTGCATATATAAGAAGTAATTACATATTACATGAGATTTTCTTTTTTAATTTAATTGCTTAAAAAAACTGATATCAAAATACCTTAGATGCTTCTGCATGTGTGTAATTAAAAATCACATATGCAGACAAAAAAAACAAACATTTATACACATTTATTTTCATTGTTAACTGTTACTATTTCATAATCATACATCCTAATAAAAATGGAAAGATAGTAAACAGTCCTGTTTTATGATCTTCAGATTCACCCTGCAGATCTAACATCCAAATCACAGACACATGGAGGGGAACAGCAGAGAAACACTACTTACATGTGAGCCACTGATATGGTGTTGCTTCGCTTCGCCTCAGTTATCAAACAGGTTTTTGTGAGAAAAGACTTCAGGAACATCTCCAAAGCCCGAGCTGTTCATGTTAGCTAAGGAATTCAATGCTCCACAGTGAAGGTATAACAATGCTAAAGTGTAACTCACCCACATTTAATGACAGAACCCGTCCCTCTGGATACATTTTAAAAAATGACAAAAAGGCACAGTTGGTCCTGAGTGGATGGGATTTTTATAAATAAATGCACAGTAAGACTAAATCACATTGAATAGACCCTGTTTATTTTGGGGTGAGTTACACTTTAAGAAGTCTGAATCGTATTCATTTATTTGTGAACAAGCATAAAAATATACACAAATCGAGGCCACAAAGCAAAGAAAAACAAACAGAATCACACTCAAAGCAGAAGACTTTTTTTTGTCCTTTACAGTTTTCACTTAAAATTCAACCATTGTTGTTTTTTTCTTTTTGCAATTGTATCGGCTGATCTGTGCATATGTTCGCCGATTCCTTAGTGCATCAAATGGCCATACTTTGAGATCACATAAGGCACATTCCTCAGTTAGCTATCTATTGTTTAAAGTTCTTTGATTAGTTAATAAATATTAGCTTTGGTCTTTTTTGTTTAAATATAGACTTTTGTAACATTTGTTATCATTGTATTATTTTTATCAGGAAAATAGAGGAAGAAAAACAGCATTGGCTTAAAGAATCAGCAAAAAACAAATAGCAGGATAAGTCAGGGGGAGCAGGAGCTGTTAGCCTAGTATTAATAACAGCTGTGGTGTTTGCTAAATGCTCCCACACAGATGTTGAAGCATTCAAATCAGATTTAAACTTGTAAAGGATTCTGCCTTGGTCTTTGATGGATCTTAAAGCTATCATTGATGCTGCTTTGGTTATATCGACATATTTTAATAAAACAATTTGGCTTTAAGAATTTTCTTTTAAACAAAAATTCTAAATGAGTAATTTATTTTACTAAATAACAATTTTGTATATTTTACTTATTATTAATTTTTTATTTTTTTTGTGTTAGTTGAATTACTGGTGTAAATTTACCATTTTATTTAATGGGAGGGTATGAAAACTTTCAAGGACAACTGTACATCCTTAACAACTTCTTTTTATTTTAATTTTTAAACATTCAAATAACAGGGAGATAGTAATAAAAATAAAAAATTTACTCAATAGAAGTCACTTCAGTCATTTTATTCATTTTGTGACATTTCATCCAAGACATATAGTAGAGGAATAATGATGTTTTATTGTAGATAAAGTAGTGTATTCTCAATTGAATAGCTGAATAATAATATATTACATTTTTAAATCACCAAGATATGTATTTAAATGGCTGATATCTAGAGTAATTTTATGGGATTTTACATATAGGAGTTTGGTCAATAGCTTTTAATCCATGTTAAAGAAGAAATGTTGTGTTCTGCGTTGTTTTCTGGAAGTTATTTATTTCAGCTAGTCCCCTATAAGTTCCATATTTGCTATCTTGGGGATGAAAACATAATTTAAAGTCTGTAACAGTCATGTTTGACACAGGTCATTCATTTTGTTCAGTTGGACTACAACTCCCAGCACCCAAAGAGGCTGTAAACCGATGCTCCATTGACGGACGCCGAACAGAATTGGTAAAACTGACACCTCGGTCAGCTGTCGTCTTCTTCTATAACCTGAAGGATACAGATGATCACGGGGACCGCCATCGCTATCCTCCCAACCTCTGTGTCCCTCTGCATGATTTTTTTTATGCGACCCTATAAACAGTAACAAAGATTAACCAACTAGACTGCATACCAATCGTTCATCTGTTAAAGTTCATAAATTTCGTACATGAAAAATAAACAATGGGTATCTATTGATGAAATGAAAACCACAAAATAAGTGTTAGAAAAAAAATGGACCTTACATGCTAAAGTTGTTTATCGTAATTGGAGTTTTTACCTGGCAGCTAAATTTCCGACCGTCCTTAAACATAGCATGTGTCCCTCGCTCCATGCTGTGTGAGCTAGCTGTTAGTTCGTTTTGTTTGACTTTAAACATATTTGTTTAAACACATCGAGAGTTTTACTCACAGGAGGGAACCGTACGCTGTATTTTTTCTTCTGTCCGGGCATTTTCGTTGTTGTAATCCCCGCTGTTTGGTTACATTTTCCATGTTTTTACAGATAAGCGCTGTAGCATCCATTTGTTTACTCTTGGTTTGTAGAAAACCGGTAGGAAAAAAAAAAGAGATGTCAACATTTGACCCCAAGAAATTACCATGGCAACAACATGACATTATAAAAAACAGAGGACGTAAAACCAAAACTAAAATCAAGATACTATTTGTTATATTTCTAATAATGTTGTTGTATGAATTAAATGTCTAAATTTATATATATCAAATAAATCATTGTGAATTATTTGATACAAAAATTTAAGTTGGACGTTTTAATCATTGATGAAAATGAATATTAAGGACCTCATTTATTTCATTTAGATTTATTTAGAAGGGTTCATTTATACAAAAATGTATTTATTCCTTACATAAAATATTCGTGTGATATTAAGTCTTGGTCTGTCATTTAAAAAAAAAAATCTTAATTAGGTTTGTGGTATTGATTTAAGAAAATATGACATGGCTGAAAGAAGAGTAAATGTTTTCGCCATGTTTTTTTTTTTTTTTAAATCTTAAATGCAACTAAACTGGATTATTTGAAAATGTACGACATTCACATCTGTAATTGTGCATTAAAAAAAGCAACCGACATTTTACTCACAAAAAACTGCAATTAAAACCAGGGATGCTTACAACTTCTGCAATAGGTATGGATATAAAGTCTAGCAATATTGAAAGTAGGGATCTGCAATCAAGGATGCTATAGTTGGGAGACATTGTCCAACATTTATTTTTGAAGGAGTTCTTCTACCTTCCATTACCTGTACTGTGGCCAGGGGCCTTCCTGGGACAGAGCTGGCAGCTTATCTAACCTCTTCTCAGCTGTAAATAATCTATTTCACTCAAAATACAACACAAAGGATGGTTGATGTCACAACACAGTTAGAGAAGGACCATCCACACTCCAAAAGACCTCAGCCTCCTAAGAAGATGGACTCTGCAGACTTTTCCTGTAAAGGGCATCAGAGTTGCTACTCCAGTCCAGTTTGAGGTTCAGGTGAACACCCAGGTCCACTATTTCAATGTAATTTCCCTGGATGTCCCATGGTGTCGTTGAGGTGAGTCTGCACCTGCAGACATCTACCACCAGCTCCTTGGTTTTCCTTGTGTTGATGAGGAGATGGTTCTGCAGGCATCATTTCACAAGCCTTTGAGTCTGTTCTCTGGGTCATATCACCTAGGATGAGGTTAACTACAGCAAAGCTGACTGAGAGAATTGATTCAATATTTTATAAAGCTGAATAAAACTAGCCATATTGCTCCAGCCTTTTAGAGTAACAGTCCTGTAGACAGAATAAACACTCTTCATAAATAACACATCTTGTTCTGAACTAAAAAAAAAAAAAAGAATCACAAACAGGTGAGGAATAACAGAATAAATAAATATCAGTCTGCAAAGGATTAGAAGCCAGGGGACCTCAGTGAAAGCCATAAACAACAATTACAAAGAAAACTTTAGCCAGTCTGACAAAATAAGTCTAAAAGCTTCTAAGCATCACCCAGAAGGTCTCCAAAGAGCCCAGAACAGGCACGGCAGGCATCCCCTTCCTCAGAAAGAGATAAACTGGTCAAACTGGACTCAGTTGCAAAGTTCTAGATCCCTGCTGAGCAAAGATTGCACAAAGATCCAGTTCATGTTTATCAGAAAACACCCTGATGATCTATAAGATTTTGAGAAAACATTTTCTCAGGGCTGACTAGACAAAAGAGGATGAACATGATCCCCATAGTTAATCACAGCGGTGGAAGGTACAGTCTCAGTCTCCTTCTTTGCTTCAGGATCTCCACATCTGGATGTTGTTGGACTCACACTTGCAAATCAACCTCTGAGTTATTCAGAAAATGCTAATTGAACAGCGGCCTAAAGAAAGTCTGGACTAAAACTCAATTTAAATGCACTGACATGTGGCTGATTTGGAAATAATCCTGCAGATGCTTGATGCAGTTAAACCCCCAATGGTTTTATAACCAGTTACTTGGGATGATTAGGACAGTTGTTTTTACTTTAATGAATGAAAACCAATATTGTAGTCTCACATGCTATCTACACATCCTTACCAGGTCATTTTATGGTGCCGGTATTCTGTCAAATGAGCATACCGGGCAGTCAATACCTGTTTATTCCTTTAATTAATCCCTGTTTTTCCCTTTAGTTTTGATCGAAAAACAAACTTTAAACTACCTCAACGGGCGTGTAACCCTTTAGTCATGCACAAAAAAAACAATTTATTGACTTACTTTTTGGTGTTTTTTAAAGCGTATGGCGATCTCACCTTCAATTGTTTTTTTTTTTTTTTGTACATGACTAAAGGATATACGCCCACTGAGGTAGTTTAAAGTCTACTTTTCGTAGAAAACTAAAGGGATAAACATGAATCTGACGTCTTGCACATGCGTATTGACTATAGGGATCCTGGTCTGACGAGGTATGCTCATCTGACAGAACACTGGGTTGGGAGCATGTTGAGATTCTTTCAATTTTGACACCTCTTAGTATGCATTAATCTTTTGATAGAAATGGTGACACATATTATGTGTGAACATATTTTTATCTGATAACTCCAGGAGCTTCCTTTTACCTTAAAATTATTTTAGGAACATTATGATAGTAACTCTGCTTTTCGTTTTTATTGTGCATGTGAGGAGGGGAGGGGCTTGAGGGTCTGATTTCCTCTTTCCCAATGCAACCATAAAACCCTCTAAAAAATGTGAAGCAAAGACTTTAATGTATGAGCTTTTTTCACAAATAAGAAGTATTGAAATTTATCTTAATGATCTGTCAGTGCCTTCTAAATGTATCCGTGGCCTTCGAACTTCTTCCTATTAGATTTGTTGTCAGTGTGTCAACCTCTCAGACCACTCAGGTCTTCTAGTTCAAGCCAACTCTGTTCACCCAGAACTAGAACCAAACATGGAAAAGCAGAATTTAGTTCCTATGCTCCACTGATCTGAAACAAACTCCCAGAAAACTGTTAATGTGCTGAAATTCTGATATTTTTTTAAGTCACACTTAAAAACCCATTTGTTTCTAACTTTGACAGCTGAAGTTAAACTGTTTACTGAGGTATTTATTCTATTGTATTGTCTAAGTCATGTAAAGCACCTTTTGTCTGTGTACTGAATTGTGCTATTTAAATAAACTTGCCTTTCTTTGCCTTCTCCTTGTCACATATTTTTCAAATACAAAAAGTAAAGTGATAGGAAATTATGAATGTTTAAGAAGTTGCATGTATGCATCCATAATCACTTTAAATTCTCATTTAAATTTCTTTCCCCCCCCCCAGATATTTCAGAAAGTACAGCTACGCTCATTTCAGGTTACATTTCTGGTAACTTTATCCATCTATGAACCAGTCATATTGTCCACTTTTCTTTGAAAATTCGTTCACATTGGATGCACAGCGTATAGAAGAGCAATTGCATGATTTTCCAACAGGAATTAAATGGATTTCTGTGTGGGCTTTGACTGGGTCTTTTTCACAGGATTATGCTTTGATCTAAACCATCCCAGTTAAGCTTGACTGTGTCTTCAGAGTTGCTGTACTGCTGAAAGTGAACCTCCACCCCAGCAACATGTTTTTCCAGTTTCATAAACTATTTCTTTAACTCTTACTATGAACCTTTCCCTCCTGAAGAAAAGCCTCCCTACAGCATAAAGAAATCACCTCTGTAGTTTCTGAAATTATTCTATAATCCAGCTCCTTCTCACCAATTGATGACATCACTCCCTGACCCTTTTGCTGCGTTTCTTGGTCTTCATTGTTCTGTTTTAAGATTCAATTGAGTTTATGTTAGATGAGTTAAATCATTTAAAATTGACTAATTTAAAAAGCTAAACAGATTTATTATATATTTACAGATATGTGGTCCTTGTATATCATCCACAGATTCTCAGTATGTTAAAACCTACTGGTTATTATAAATGGACTCAAGTTTAGTTCATGCAAGTTTGTTAAAAAAAAAAAAAAAGATTTTCTGTTGATTTAAATAAAGCCAATTTGCATTAAGCCACTGATTTTCCAGCATTCCCTCTTCCACTAACGTGTAGTGATAGAGGACAGTGATTGCGTTAAGTCGTTAACTTTGCAGCAGTCCCATGTGGCTCTGGGGACAGTGGAGTAAAATGTCCCTTTTAACAGGAGAAAAACATCCAGTATAAACCAGCTTATTGGGAGCTCTCCTTAACGACAAACAATTGGCAGGAGAGAGATCAGACACGGAAAGGAGTAGCTCCTATTTTAAAGATAATATTATGGAAAGTACGTTCTTCACCAACCTACAAAGGGCTTCACCTCTGGTACCAAGGTTAAATGTTAGCACGATGGTTAAAAACACTGGGCAAATGAAGCGGCAACCAGCCAAGGAGTCAGAAGATTTAAAGAAGTAAATAGATTTTCTTACAGCAGAGGTGTCAGCTGTCTGGCTGCAGCAGGAGATGTCTCATAAAACAATCCTACAGCTTGTGGAGGAGATTTTAGAAAAAAAATGTCACACAAATGTGGACCTTAGAAGAGAGTGGAAAAAATAACATAAGAGTTAAAAAAAAAATAAACAAATAAAATACTTTACTGCAAAGAGTTTTAACAACACAAATACTGTGCACCTGGAGAATAAATAACAAATATACGACAGTGGACATTTTTACAGTAATGGACATTCGAAAATAGCTGCAACATCAGAGATGTGCAAAATTACAGCAGCATGTTATTTAACTGATTAAGGTAAAAAAAAATCCAAATGTGAAAAAAAATCTGCATGAATGTAACAACTTATTTAGGTTGTTGTTAACAGTGGTGGGTATAGAGTCTTACAGCTGCATGGAGGAAGGATCTGTGATAACACTTCCTGGTGCATTTAGGGTGCAGCAGTCTGTCACTGAAGGAGCTCTCCAGTTCTGCAACAGCTTCATGCATGAGGTGGGAGACATTATCCAAGTTTGGATCCTTTTTTTTTTTTTTTTCCAGAGTCCAGAGGGCATCCAATCGCAGAGTTGACCGATATCAATTACATAAAAATTTAAGCACATTGAAGTTTGTGTCAAAGGAAAGGGTGAAATAGTTCAAGGGTTATGCATTTTTTGCATTTTATACATACCTTTTCCATTGGCACTAGAAGATTAACACTGGATTAACTAAAGTTTGGTAATCTTGACCTAATTTGTCACATGGATTTATTATTACAACACTGAAATTTAAATGTGAGTAAAGGATACCTTCCTTTCTGGCTGATTTAAACAGAAATATAAATTTTCGGAATCTAGCTTAGGGCTAGATCAGTATGCATTGGCTCATGAAAGTAATAAACATTTTAAAAGTTCATATATTTTATATGCTTAAATTGATTGTAAAATAAATGCATCTAATTCAGGCATTTATTTGTATAAAATACATTTTCCATTTCCTCTATACAAGTTAGTACAGTCAGAATTCCGAGATTAAAGTCAGAATTCCAAGAAAAAAGTCAGAATTCTGAGATTAAAGTCAGAATTCCGAGATTAAAGTCAGAATTCCAAGAAAAAAGTCAGAATTCTGAGATTAAAGTCAGAATTCCGAGATTAAAGTCAGAATTCTGAGAAAAAAGTCAGAATTCTGAGAAAAAAGTCAGAATTCTGACTTTTTCCCCATATTAAACTGAAATAAAATTGAAAAATCAGTTAGCTTTTTTCCCCAGTGGCTCTAATCCTCGTCCGTAAATTACAAAAAACAGCTTCTGTAAATTGTATTCCATTTTGTGTTGTAAAAGTTGTAAATATTTGCTTTGCAGTTCCTAGGAATGGCCACTGGGGGCAGGAGAGTCAGTGTTTACAGGACTAGGACAGCTTGCTGCACGAGCTCGCTGCTGGTAGCGTGGAGGTGAAATTAGAGACAGACAGGAGGTCGTTGTAGTAGTTTTTTCCCCTCTAAAGTTAGTCAAAGTCCCCAAGAAGCAAACAAGAGATTGTGGCGTTTGTGAAAGCTAACTAAACAAGTTGTTAAATGATATGAAAGTGTTAAATATCGCGGGAAAAAACGTCTGACTCGGGCTCGCCAGCTTCTGCATGGTCCCAGGCTAGCTAACAGTTAGCTGCAGGAGCGTCTGGGCTAGCGAGGTCCAGCCCAAAATCTGTTTACCTCGAGTGGATGTGGTCACCTCCCGAGCTGTTCACGACTTTTCTCTGTGCAAAGAAAACAAGAACCAAGAATCCACACTGGCTTTAACACCGCGCGCTGTCAGCAAACCAGCAGGATGTCCACTGAGGTTGAGTGTAGCCAAGTTGACTCGGGTTTGACAGCGAGCAGCTCCGGCGGGGTGCAGGACAAGTCGGAGGGGGCTCAATTCCACAAAGAACTAGAGAATCAAGGTTCGGAAAAACAGACTGACTGCCACAAACCCGAGACGAACAAGAGCCAGGGGGACAGCCATAAGAAAAGCAAAGAAAACGATAAAGAGAATGAACGGAGCGGTGACGCTGACTCGACCGTTGAGAAGAAAGTTGTCGAAGCTCCTCTACCGAAAGTTAACCCTTGGACAAAAAGAACCACGGGCAGAGTACCGGTCGGTAACATCAACTCCAGCTCCCCTGAGACAGGTAAGCTGGATCCATATTTAAAATGCTAAGTATTCACACCTTTTCAGCTTTTTAAGGGCTTCAATATAGGAAATCCCACCTTAATTTATACATGTCAGCTTTCCCACAGAGATTAGTAAAGAATAATAAAATATCAGAATGTATACTAAGATCAGAGGTGGTGTTAACAGGGTATTTGCCCCATCCCCCCGTGCTCGGATTGCTCATGAGCACCACGTGTAGAATGCTGACAACTGCTACTTCTTAAGCTACTATCAGCGCTCTGCTGTGTTGCACCTCGCTTTATTGGTGTGGCGATGGCAACGGGGAGAGACTGATATTAGTGAGATAGGAGCTGAAGAACAGCTCGGTTTAAAATAAGATCGACTTCAGCTTCGAGCAGCTAGCTGTTGTCGGTGGTTGATGGTAATCCGAGCAGGCTAGTAGCTCCTGCTGCTGTAAAGGCACGTTCCTCATGTCCAATGGGTTGGCTGCCTGTTGTTCCTCCCACCAGTCTGCTGTCACTGGGAGAGAACACGTATGTGGACAAGGTGTCTGAGCAGGTGGATCTGCAGACCAGGGCTCTAGATGACATGTGGCCATGCTGTGGGATTTTTAGATTAGATTAGATTAAACCAGATATAGATAAGGAATTTTAATTGAACCAATCTTTTTGCTATAATCCTTTGAGATTATCAGTTATTTTCTTAAGAAATGTATCTTGTATGACTTGAAAGATTTTGACAAGGTGCTAAAACAGCTGGGAAACCCACTCAGTTTCCCTCTGAGTTACTTTTGGAAAAAAAAATGGAGCGACCACAAAAAAGTAGATGTTTTCTGTGTGCAGTTTAAAATGATTTAATCTGTACTTCATTTTTTAAAGGTGGGAAAGCAAACTAACGCTGAAAATAACCACCTGCATCAAATGATTTGTTAATCCACATTCCTGGAGAGGATCTAAAAAATATAATTTATAAAAACTCACAAGTAAGCTGATATTAGATTTGCATTTGGAAGGTTGGAAGAAAAAATGTAGGTGTATTGATAATCTAGCTAACAAATTGTCATACACACACAGACATATATATAATATATGGAGTGTTTATTTTTCTGCATTAGGCCATTTCTCCCTGTTTAAATCTCAGCTTCATTCTAACTAATCTAGATGCATCCAGCCCCTTTTCTACATTTTGCTTTGTAAATAAAAAATAAAATAAAAGTTAGAACTGTAAATATACAGTCATATGTTTGTATTACTATTTTTTAATGTATTACTGTTTTCAAGGCTGCACTTTAAAAAATGAAAGTGTTTAGAGCTGTTTTAAACACAGTTTCTTTTTCTATACACTTACAAAATGACAAAATAAGTCTAAGTCTAAATAGCAGCTGATTTTAAAACGGAACAAAGCCCTTATGATGTGAAAAAGCAAAATGAATAGTGAAACGTGTACATAGGTATTTTATTTTTAGGCATGGAGCTTTAGGTGTTCCTAAATGCCACATCAGCTTTGAGTGCTGTACTCTATTCCTCTATGAAAATCCCTTCAAGCTTCATAATTTGCAGTCAGAAAGGCTGTCCACAAATGTTTTTAAGATTCCCACTGGATGTTCAGTCTGATTTACACTCCGACTGGGCCAAATAGAATATTCTGAGTTGTACCGAAGCAACTGTATTCATGTCTTGGCTGTATGTCTGAGGGTGAAAGATGAACCGTTACCCCTGTTTGCACTCTGTACCAAGTTGTCCCTGCACATAGCTGTATGTATATTTACCTCTTATTAGTCTCCCAGTTCCTTTTGCTGATAAAACATTCCCACAGCATGATGCTGCCTCTACAGTGCTTCCTCATTGGATACTTTTTTGCCTTGTGATGAGTGATGTTTGGTTTCCTGCAAACATAAACTTGACATTTATTCCAGTTTGTCTTTTTCTCAAGACAAAAACAATTTATGGTCAAAAAGTTCTTAGGGAGGGTTCTGGCATGCTTCAGTCTGTTTGTTCCTAAGGAGTGGCTTTCATCTGGCCACTCTCTTGTTCACCTCTCTGACCATCACAGTCCTCTGATCACTCAGTTTTCATGGCCACCCCACTTCAAGTTGAGTCTTTGTCAACCTAAAATTGTTCCAGTCATTGAAGTCTGAAGTAATTTTGCTTGTTTTGACTTTCAGAGCAGAAACAGGAGGAACTTGAGTTCCTTTTTTAACCCTCATAGAAAAACTATGAATACATAAGCACATTACATTTCTTTGAAGTTTGGTAAATGCATTTATGAAAAAATGTAACTGTCACTGTAATTAGAATAATTAGGTTTTTATGCCGAACCGAGTAGAAAAAAAAAAAAATTTATTTTTAAATAGAGCTAATTTATTATTATCTTTACTATATAAAAAAAAAACATGTTTTATATTGCCTTTTTATGAAATGATATGGACCCCCATCTGTTAAAAAAAGGCTTTTATTTTTTGAGTGACCCAGAAGTTGTGAAAATAGCCCTCCTAATAATATACAGGTGCTGGTCATAAAATTAGAATATCATGAAAAAGTAGATTGATTTCAGTAATTCCATTTAAAAAGTGAAACTTGTATATTATATTCATACATTACATACAAACTCATATATTTCAGATGTTTATTTTGTTTAATTTTGATGATTACAAATGACAACAAATGAAAATCTCAAATTCATCATATCAGAAAATTAGAATATTGTGAAAAGGTTCAAAATTGATGGCCCCTGGTGCCACACTCTAATCAGCTAATTAACTCAAACCACCTGCAAAAGCCTTTAAATGGTCTTTCAGTCTAGTTCTATAGGCTACACAATCATGGGGAAGACTGCTGACTTGACAGTTGTCCAAAAGACGACCATCGACACCTTGCACAAGGAGGGCAAGACACAAAAGGTCATCGCTAAAGAGGCTGGCTGTTCACAGAGCTCAGTGTCCAAGCACATTAATAGAGAGGCGAAGGGAAGGAAAAGATGTGGTCGAAAAAAGTGTACAAGCAAGAGAGATAACCGCACCCTGGAGAGGATTGTGAAACAAAACCCATTCAAAAATGTGGGGGAGATTCACAAAGAGTGGACTGCAGCTGGAGTGAGTGCTTCAAGAACCACCACACACAGACGTATGAAAGACATGGGTTTCTGCTGTCGCATTCCTTGTGTCAAGCCACTCTTGAACCACAGACAGCGTCAGAAGCGTCTTGCCTGGGCTAAAGAGAAACAGGACTGGACTGCTGGTGAGTGGTCCAAAGTCATGTTCTCTGATGAAAGTAAATTTTGCATTTCCTTTGGAAATCAAGGTCCCAGAGTCTGGAGGAAAAGAAGAGAGGCACTTCATCCACGTTGCTTGAAGTCCAGTGTAAAGTTTCCACAGTCAGTGATGGTTTGGGGTGCCATGTCATCTGCTGGTGTTGGTCCATTGTGTTTTCTGAGGTCCAGGGTCAACGCAGCCACATACCAGGAAGTTTTAGAGCACTTCATGCTTCCTGCAGCTGACCAACTTTTTGGAGATGCAGATTTCATTTTCCAACAGGACTTGGCACCTGCACACAGTGCCAAAGCTACCAGTACCTGGTTGAAGGACCATGGTATCCCTGTTCTTAATTGGCCAGCAAACTCTCCTGACCTTAACCCCATAGAAAATCTATGGGGTATTGTGAAGAAGAAGATGCAATACACCAGACCCAACAATTCAGAAGAGCTAAAAGCCACTATTAGAGCAACCTGGGCTATCATAACACCTGAGCAGTGCCACAGACTGATCGACTCCATGCCACGCCGCATTGCTGCAGTAATACAGGCCAAAGGAGGCCCAACTAAATACTGAGTGCTGTACATGCTCATACTTTTCATGTTCATACTTTTCAGTTGGCCAACATTTCTATAAATCCTTTGTTTTTATTGGTCTTCAGTAATATTCTAATTTTCTGATATGATGAATTTGAGATTTTCATTTGTTGTCATTTGTAATCATCAAAATTAAACAAAATAAACATCTGAAATATATGAGTTTGTATGTAATGTATGAATATAATATACAAGTTTCACTTTTTAAATGGAATTACTGAAATCAATCTACTTTTTCATGATATTCTAATTTTATGACCAGCACCTGTAGAGGAGGAGCAGCCATGCTCCTCCTCTCCTCTTTATCCAGCTATTGAAAATAGCATAGGTGCTTCAGGCCCCGCCCCTCCTAGGCAGCAAGGAAATTAACACATCCCACGATGACGGGTTAGAATTGAAATACTCTCACTGGTTTACAATACTGACCTCGCTAAGCAAGTTAATATAAAGAAAAGATGAAGATATTGAGAGAAAATTTGATAAATATGGAGAAAGTTGTTGGGAGATAGTTGGATAAAGATACACGAAGAATGAAGGGATTCATTTGTAAACGTAATAATTTCTAACTATATACCATTCTTGTAGCTAAATTGTTTTTTTTTATTTATTATTATAGATTTTTTTCTGGCAGAAAAAGGTGGACTGGATTAATTTTATTTTTGTTTTTTTGTCTTCCAGACTGTTAGATTGCTAATTCAGGGGTTGATGGTCACAAAATGTAATATGTATGTAAAACTCTTTTAAGCTAGACTACTATTACTAATTAATACTATACTATGCTAATTTATGCTGAAAAGAGAAATAGCTCTTATAACCACTCTCTTCTTTAGAGTAGGTTCAGGAATTGTGGGAAGAAAACAATAAAAATTTAGATTTGATAAATCTTTTTGAATCTAAAGTAATTTTAAAATAAATTTTCTGCATTGGGTTTTAACAACAGTCCTGCTTCGGACTTCACTAGGTAATAAGAAATAAGGCCAAAAGGAAACTTCAGAAAGCTCCAAGCACTAAATAAAGCAAACCTTCTCACATTTGACACTGTGGCTTCAAGAGAGGTTCTAGTAATATGGTTCAAGATGTAATTAACACTTTTACTAACCCAGCTGAAGAAACTTTTTAGCATATGAATAGAATATGGCGGTTCTGTTTGGGTCAGAGAAAGTCTAGCAGCTTTAATTTGCAGAGCTTTCAATGCAGGAGTTAAATATCTGTTTTAAATTTCAATCAATTACTTTCTCCTGTTTGCTCCGTTAGTGAGCTCCAAAAGACTTTCCATCAGCATAGGTGAGATTTTTGCGTGTTGTTTATGCAATGGGAGGCTCAGGAGGGAACGCTTCAGTCTGCTGTGGATTTGAAACCTCTCAGCCAAACGTGAGTTATGAATGTGTGTCAGAGCAGAGAGCAAACGGTCTAAATTTGAACCCCCCGATCTCTGGCACAGGCATCAGTTTACAGGGTTACTGTACAGCCAGCTCTATGGGTGGACACCGACGGCTCGCTCAGGCGTACACCCATTCACATTGAAGCCTGTGCCCGGTGTGTCTTATCAATCCAACCATCCTCTACTGAGTGATAGGAGCCGTCAGGCAGCAGCGGGCCACTCCCAGCCTGCAGAGATGCAGCTGCATACCGCTGCTCTGTGTACTCAAAACACCCTCAACAAGTTCAGTCCCTTTAGGGGTTTTATTCTATATTTCTTCGGTTCTGACTGATACTGTCTTATGCTCACCAAACAGCACATCAGACGGTGCAAGAGTAGATGACTCGACTTGTTAACTGCAGTGTTAAGCAACAGTTGTCTACTCGCACCTTTTTTTTCTTTCTTTTTTTCTTCAAACACTTGACTCTTAGATTTTGGACTTCTCCTGTCTGCCACATTTGATGATGTCTATTTCTATTATCACTCGTCTGTCTGCAGATCAGCAAAATGCCTTGAAAGTTGTCCGAGCAAGTAAACCCAGACCGAGAAAACCCAGCAAGGTAATGTTCTGTTTCAGTCTTTTACCCCCTTTTCGTAAAGCTTCCACTCTTTCTGAACTTCCACAGCTTTGACGCTACAGTCTTCTTTAGATAATGAACAACCAGTGTTTCCTTTTGTCCCCATTCTGCTTTTAAATGTCTTTTCTTTGTGCAGAACTTAGAACTTAATCAACATCCGTCAGAATATGTCAGTAGTCTTGGTGATAACTAGCAGAATTTGATGATATACTATTTTAACTCACAAATGTTTTTTAGTTCTTCAGAGTTTTCACATCTTCATTTTCTTAAATTGACTTGAGGTTTTGACACACAGAGTGGGAAGTTTCCATCTGCTTCTAAATGTTAGCTGGTTTAAACTGCTATCCTCTGGACTTGTTTGTTTTTCCTTCTCGTTTTTTTTTCCACTGCAGTCCTTTAGTGGTATTCGCCTCAGACTAGTAGCTTGATAAAGAGATCAGCTGGATCTTAAACTGTGGTTGAACTTTTTTCTAACTTAGAGTCAATGTAATGTCAATGTTGGATCTGTGACTTTAGCTTGTATTTATTTAGTCATGTGAGAAGATTTACTGTATGCTTTACTGCTGTCCACAGCGGCTTGCTTAAAAAAACATTAGACCCAAAAGGTACCCTTGTCCAAGTCATGTTCTAAGGAGCAAGCTAGAGCAAAAAAATTAGAGATGGTCTTTAGCCTTTAATCTTCAATTATCAAATTTACACTGAAGGGCGTTATTAACACATCCTGCTATAAGTGGGTTCTGATCTTTCACTATTGACAATTAAAACTCAAGCTTTTGTTTTTAACCAGGCCGTTGACAGTCAAACGGAGGATTACAGGATTCTAGTCAGCAGATAATTTTTTTGTTTTTTTTGTTTCTAGTTTAAATAAATATTTATTTTTTAGAAGTTATAAAAGCACTGAAAACATCAATCTTTTATTTCAGGGTTTATCATCTCAATAAGTGGTCCTCCTAATTGTCAATCATTCTGGTGATATGTTTACGTAAGGCCGTCCACATGCTCGCCCTGTTAGCTATCTTTTTCTGCGCATGTGCATCTGTGGTTTCAGTCATTGAAGCTCACCTTTCTCACTGCGGTTCTTTGAAAATGGCTGAGGCTCGTAAGAGAAAAAAGTCTCTAAGAAGTGTATGAGAAGCTACCAACAGTGGCAGCTGATAACAGATACGGTGCAGGCACCACACATTGGCGCCAGATTTAGGTGACCAACGGGGAGCAAAAAGCAGTGATCATCTGTCTGAAGGGTAAAATAAAGGGTCGCTATAAAGTCCACTATATACTGTATTTTCACGACCATAAGGCGCACCGTACTAAAAATCGCAGTCTCAGTTATGTGTGCCATTGCTGTATTTAACACACACATAAGGCGCACCGGATTATAGGGTGCGAGTTTTATATACAGGTACATGTCCTCTACTGCGTTTAGATACCTCTACTGCGTATTTAAAAATAGAGCGGGAGCAAAACTGAGTATGTTAGTGCTTTATTATTGTATTTATTACAAAGTGTTAATCAAACCTGGGAGCTGGCCGTGAGACAGACACATTGCTGATGACACAGGGCTGTGATAACTCCTGTGAAACAGTTGACACATAAATTAACTTAAAATCCTGAAACCTGCCGACAGAATATGTTCGCTTTTATTATCCTGGTGCCTGCAGTTTAGATTATTTAGATGAAAAACACCTACCAGCTGCCGCGGTGAACCGCGAGGAGGCGACGCAGCCAGTGGCTGCTGTTGAATGGGATTCATACTGATAGCGCACCGCTGGTATGTGGGGGTCTGAGCGGCTCTGACATTTTGAGGGGGAAAAAAAGACGTTTATATGCGCCTTATAGTCATGAAAATACGGTAGTCCCCGCTCTATATAGTGATTGAGGGATTTGGGGGTTAGGGCGTTCGGACAGTAAGCTTGGATAAGCTATGCGAACAGCAACTTTTAAACAGAGCGTGCACGAGAAGAAATGGGATTGTGCATGCTCTCACACGCGTTCAATATGCGTTCACTCTCAGGAGTGGGTACAGGGTTGTGCATGTGCGTTTTTCTTTAAAGTGGAGAGGGGGCGTCTTTAAAAAAAATCGCAAAAGTCCTCCACAATACCTTGAAGTTATAAACACACTGAAAACATTGATCTCTTAAACATCTAAGGTACAAGATGGTTCTCAACAAGGTGATGGTGTTACATACATACAGGTGCTGGTCATAAAATTAGAATATCATGAAAAAGTAGATTGATTTCAGTAATTCCATTTAAAAAGTGAAACTTGTATATTATATTCATACATTACATACAAACTCATATATTTCAGATGTTTATTTTGTTTAATTTTGATGATTACAAATGACAACAAATGAAAATCTCAAATTCATCATATCAGAAAATTAGAATATTGTGAAAAGGTTCAAAATTGATGGCCCCTGGTGCCACACTCTAATCAGCTAATTAACTCAAACCACCTGCAAAAGCCTTTAAATGGTCTTTCAGTCTAGTTCTATAGGCTACACAATCATGGGGAAGACTGCTGACTTGACAGTTGTCCAAAAGACGACCATCGACACCTTGCACAAGGAGGGCAAGACACAAAAGGTCATCGCTAAAGAGGCTGGCTGTTCACAGAGCTCAGTGTCCAAGCACATTAATAGAGAGGCGAAGGGAAGGAAAAGATGTGGTCGAAAAAAGTGTACAAGCAAGAGAGATAACCGCACCCTGGAGAGGATTGTGAAACAAAACCCATTCAAAAATGTGGGGGAGATTCACAAAGAGTGGACTGCAGCTGGAGTGAGTGCTTCAAGAACCACCACACACAGACGTATGAAAGACATGGGTTTCTGCTGTCGCATTCCTTGTGTCAAGCCACTCTTGAACCACAGACAGCGTCAGAAGCGTCTTGCCTGGGCTAAAGAGAAACAGGACTGGACTGCTGGTGAGTGGTCCAAAGTCATGTTCTCTGATGAAAGTAAATTTTGCATTTCCTTTGGAAATCAAGGTCCCAGAGTCTGGAGGAAAAGAAGAGAGGCACTTCATCCACGTTGCTTGAAGTCCAGTGTAAAGTTTCCACAGTCAGTGATGGTTTGGGGTGCCATGTCATCTGCTGGTGTTGGTCCATTGTGTTTTCTGAGGTCCAGGGTCAACGCAGCCACATACCAGGAAGTTTTAGAGCACTTCATGCTTCCTGCAGCTGACCAACTTTTTGGAGATGCAGATTTCATTTTCCAACAGGACTTGGCACCTGCACACAGTGCCAAAGCTACCAGTACCTGGTTGAAGGACCATGGTATCCCTGTTCTTAATTGGCCAGCAAACTCTCCTGACCTTAACCCCATAGAAAATCTATGGGGTATTGTGAAGAGGAAGATGCAATACACCAGACCCAACAATTCAGAAGAGCTAAAAGCCACTATTAGAGCAACCTGGGCTATCATAACACCTGAGCAGTGCCACAGACTGATCGACTCCATGCCACGCCGCATTGCTGCAGTAATACAGGCCAAAGGAGGCCCAACTAAATACTGAGTGCTGTACATGCTCATACTTTTCATGTTCATACTTTTCAGTTGGCCAACATTTCTATAAATCCTTTGTTTTTATTGGTCTTCAGTAATATTCTAATTTTCTGATATGATGAATTTGAGATTTTCATTTGTAATCATCAAAATTAAACAAAATAAACATCTGAAATATGAGTTTGTATGTAATGTATGAATATAATATACAAGTTTCACTTTTTAAATGGAATTACTGAAATCAATCTACTTTTTCATGATATTCTAATTTTATGACCAGCACCTGTAGTTTCATTGGAAGGTAAATGTGTTGTTTTAACACAGAAAGCTCTGAAAAAATTACTTGATTGGCTAAAAACAAACATCTTCTTACCTATGTTGTAATTCTTCCAAAACTATATATATATATATATATATATATATATATATATATATATATATATATATATATACACACACTCACTGGCCACTTTATTAGGTACCCCATGCTACTAACGGGTTGGACCCCCTTTTGCCTTCAGAACTGCCTCAATTCTTCGTGGCATAGATTCAACAAGGTGCTGGAAGCATTCCTCAGGGAGTTTGGTCCATATTGACATGATGGCATCACACAGTTGCCGCAGATTTGTCGGCTGCACATCCATGATGCGAATCTCCCGTTCCATCACATCCCAAAGATGCTCTATTGGATTGAGATCTGGTGACTGTGGAGGCCATTTGAGTACAGTGAACTCATTGTCATGTTCAAGAAACCAGTCTGAGATGATTCCAGCTTTATGACATGGCGCATTATCCTGGTGAAAATAGCCATCAGAAGTTGGGTACATTGGGGTCATAAAGGGATGGACATGGTCAGCAACAATACTCAGGTGGGCTGTGGTGTTGCAACGATGCTCAATTGGTACCAAGGGGCCCAAAGAGTGCCAAGAAAATATTCCCCACACCATGACACCACCACCACCAGCCTGAACCGTTGATACAAGGCAGGATGGATCCATGCTTTCATATTGTAGACGCCAAATTCTGACCCTATCATCCGAATGTCGCAGCAGAAATCGAGACTCATCAGACCAGGCAACGTTTTTCCAATCTTCTATTGTCCAATTTCGATGAGCTTGTGCAAATTGTAGCCTCAGTTTCCTGTTCTTAGCTGAAAGGAGTGGCACCCGGTGTGGTCTTCTGCTGCTGTAGCCCATCTGCCTCAAAGTTCGACGTACTGTGCATTAGGGGTGTAAATCACATCCATCATGGCGATTCGATTCAGTATCGATTTCCTGACCCAACGATTCGATTATTTTCGATACTTAAGAATACACCACGATTCGATTAATCGATTAATCGGTTAATTTTTTTTTTATTATTTTTTTTTTTTTTTACACCTTACAGGCTAAACAAAGTTTCAAGTTTGAAATAAATCGATGAAAGCTGTAATATCATTATGCATTTTCTTTAGAAACAACAGCAAATAACAGAAGTAGAAAAGTTGCATCAAAAAATACTGCAAAAATACTGCACAATATCAGTGTAATGAGTTCAATGCAATACCTCAGCTCCAGAGAAACTGTCCAACATATTTTCTTTAGAATGTAATAAATATATTCAGGAAAGAGAGATGTTGTGTAGAGAGTTAGACAGGAATAAAAATAAACTAGATATAAGGGAATTGTTTCAAAGGTCATCTGGGGATGTAGTTTTTGGTAGTATTTTTAATTTTCTAAGAAGAACGTTTGTCTGGTCCATACTCCATTCTGGAAGGTGGCGGTAATGCACCTATAAGTTGTTTGCCAACCGCCATTAAAAAAAAGAAGAAGAAGGCTCCAGAGTGTTGCGTCACCGCCCCCTTGAGAGACGCTCCGCTGCACCTCTCCCAGATTGTAGCTGACTGCAAACAGTGCATCAGACAGGAGGTCGGCTTGTTTTGTTTTTATGACCGAAATTGCGGAAAAAAACTCGTGAAGTTTGACCCGCTAGAAGAGCGAGGTGCGCGAGAACGCTGGGACGCTTTTTCCAGCTGAATCTCCGCTTTTTTTGCCCTCATGTCCCTTCGTCGTCGGACTAAACTCGCCCCCACTTCCTCATCACCTCGGCCGTATCTAGACCCACAGCGTGTAGCCCAGACCACGCTTCAATACTGAGCATAATTTAAAAATGTCTGTGTGAAGCTTGCTGCAACAAACTGCTGTAAGAGTATAACCAGGAAGCGCGGTAGGAGGGCAAAATAGGTTTAGCGCCACCGCAGCACGGGAGGATTACGCCCAGGAGCAAATGGATAAAAATAGACCGGAGGGGAAAAAAAAAAACATTAATCGATTATCTTGCGGACGTGTCGATGCATCGGATCGTCGGCTTTTGGATCGATGCATCGATACAAAACGATTATTATTTACACCCCTACTGTGCATTCAGAGATGCTCTTCTGCCCACCTTGGTTGTAACGGGTGGTTATTTGAGTCACTGTTGCCCTTCTATCAGCTCGAACCAGTCTGGCCATTCTCCTCTGACCTCTGGCATCAACAAGGCATTTCCGCCCACAGAACTGCCGCTCACTGGATGTTTTTTCTTTTTCGGACCATTCTCTGTAAACCCTAGAGATGGTTGTGCGTGAAAATCCCAGTAGATCAGCAGTTTCTGAAATACTCAGACAAGCCCTTCTGGCACCAACAATCATGCCACGTTCAAAGTCACTCAAATCACCTCTCTTCCCCATACTGATGCTCGGTTTGAACTGTAGGAGATTGTCTTGACCATGTCTACATGCCTAAATGCACTGAGTTGCCGCCATGTGATCGGCTGCTTAGAAATTAAGTGTTAACGAGCAGTTGGGCAGGTGTACCTAATAAAGTGGCCGGTGAGTGTATATGTATGTATGTATGTATGTATGTGTATATATAAAGAAAACCTCAAAACTTTTTAATTCATCTTTCACTCTGCCATAAAGATTTATTTTTTGGGCTTGTTATTTAGGACCAACAGAGTCAGTTATTTGTGAAGCTATCATACTAAAGGATTGGAACTAACTGGTTCTGTTCTGCTTCTATGTAGCTTAGCAGTGAAGTGCTACTTTGCTCATTTAACCTTGATCACATATCGGTTTTCCGAAATTGTCAAGATCCAAGTGGTTGTTGGGCCCTGGACTGTTTATCGTTGCTGTTTGCATTTCCTCTGCAAAAAGAGCACTGACCTCCTTTCCTGGAGACTGGACTCAACCTGTCCTGATGCATCGTGTTACATGTTGAAACGATTTTTGGTTCAACCTGTGAGTACAAAATTATTATTTATTTGTTGTTTTTTACAGTCTAGTGACTTCAGCGATATAACAAACTGGCCCACTCCTGGAGAACTCGCAAAAGAGGTATGTGGCTTAGTGTATTTGTGCGTTAAAGTGTGTATCAGGGTTCTTTTTTAAAATATCAAATTTATAAAAAGTTCAGTTGTTTTTTCCAAGTCTCATTAAAAAGTATCCTCAAAAGTTTTGCTTATTAATTACCTGTTTCCATTTTCTAAACCCTTGACTAGACTGTAGATTGACTCAAGTCAGGCTTTGATATCATACATGGTCTTCAGATCAGGTGGAGTCAGGCTTTAAAAAATATTTTTTTTCTCTCATATGATATCAGCTAAGTTTATTTAGTTGTAGTGGATGCTGAACATAGTTTTACCTATTAAGAATAAGGGTGGAGGGTGAAAACTCAGAAAAAAGGACAAGTTCTTCAGTAGTTGTTCACTCTTTCGTAAAACATGGAAAGTCAGAGGCAGGATGTAAATATACCCTACCAGAACACCTAATGTGAAGATAAATGAGGTCCTGCCCAGTGCTCTGATCAGTTCCTTAAATCCAAGTCCCTCTTAATTTGGATGCACTTTGTCAGGATGATGGAGCCAATCATGCAGCTGTAAAAGCAGATGGGTCAAAACACTCCATCTGGGCTGCTCCTCTCCTTCAACAGCCCTACGATTTGTAGAGTTGTGTGTTTGTGGGGGGGGCTTCATGATGATGCAGCTTAGATTATCTCCCTTGTATCTGCTGAAAGTCTAGCCATCTCTTGCCGTGTTAAGTGCATTTTTTCTATAGCTTGAATAGCTTCTATAAAAACTATAAAATAGTTTATATTTCCTAAAACACCTCAGAAAATGGCTAACCTCACAGTAAAAATTTTCTATTTGTGTCATACACAAAATTGGTCTTTGTTCAGGCTGCAGTAATTACAAAATAATTGTTGTTTCTGGTCAATTTTATGTTGCATTTTATAATTATTGGATGAAAAGAACAGATTCCAGATTCCTTTACAAACTTTACTGCATGCCCCATCCCCCCCCCCCCCTTTTGTCCTCCTTGCTTGCATTTTTTGAATGGTTATTGGGATTAAAACGTAACTAGTGCTGCAAAATAAAATGATTAAAGATGAGGTTCAGAAGTTTAAATAAAGGCTTATGTTTACATTTCGCCAATAGCAAAATGTCCCCAGCAACGATGGAAAGAAAACGTCTTCCCGCAGAGAAAGGGACAAGAGGAGAGAGCGACCAGACAGAAAATCAGAGAGCAGTCATGATGGAGGTGAGAGCAAGGAGAACAAGGAGGCTCATCTAGACCCAATGGAGGAACCCTCTAAAGAAGGAGAAACAAAACCAGGGCTGGATTCTAAGAGCTCCGGCCTGAAGAAGAGAGGAGGTGAGGGTGAGTTGTTTTTGTTTTTTTCCCCTGTGTCATTGAGATGCATGTGCACCCTGGGAAGATATTGTGCTAAATAAGTCTGTTAGTTGCTGCACTGTGTACAAGTTTTATAAAAATGTTTGAATTTATTCAAATTTGCATTCATAAGTTCTAAATCAAAGAGGCATGTCTTTATATTTCTGACAATGGGGGTCTTTCCTGTTTTTTGGGGTCTTTTTTACGGCATGTTGATAACTGTAATGATCTGTTTGTAAAGTCTGATTAATGTGGATTGGTGCACGTTCTGCTTTAATAATCAAATCTTTTGGACTTTTTCTGATTTGCCATCATGTTAAAATGTCTGAGCAGAGTATGTTACCACAACTAACCCTTAAGGGAAAAACAGGTCCTTTCATCAGCTTTAGAGCCTAAAATGACAGTCTTCCAGTTTGAATGGGATTGTATTAAATTTAATGGAGAATTTATTATCATTAATTTGAGCACAATTAAAAGTCAAATCTAAGAACTCACTTTTTTGTTTTGAAAGACAAGGACATTTATTGATTTGTTTAGCAGTCACTGTACACAAGCTTGTTGTTACAGTTTAATAAAAGCTAAAGAACTGTTTATAGTGCCCAAATAGTAGGAAAACTACCACAATATGATTTTTTTATTCAGTGTATACTAATTGTTCAAATCAGAATATTTACTTTGAAATAACATTTGTACTTTTTAGTCAGTCAGTGATTTTAGGCTTAAGATTCGAGCAGAGTAACACTTCATTCTCTAAATGAAGCACCCATCTGCAGGCACAGGGATCCCCCCTATATGCTGCTATGACAAAAGTTTGTCCGAATATGTAAATATGTTTTCGTTTTTTTAATTTTAACCATTTGGCAAGTCAGACTTTTAATTTTAAACTTTTTTGATAGGGATATTTAAATCTGATATTGATGGAGGAAATCTGTCCGATAGCAGGCAAAAAAAAAGTATAGAAATATATCGACTTGTATCTAAAATTTCAGACCTTTCACTCCAGCATTTAATTTGTGCCAGAACTTGTATCCCATAAATGAGATCTAACAGAGTAACAGATGGTGCATTACTACAGTAGGAGCTGCGTCCGCATTGTGCCTGTGCTTTTGGTTCAAATGCGAAAAAATTATATAGCAGCTGAGGGAAAAACTGGACAAATAATTCTTCTAATTTATCGGATTTAGTTTTATTCAATTGTGCAATGTTTTAATATTTAAATTTGCGTGAAACAGAGAACAGACTTGGTGACACAATGGTATTTATTCATTGTGTTTATAAAGTAACAGCTTAGAGAGAAAAAAAAGACACACTAATTGATTGAGGATTTTAAAAACATGCTTCTTGGATCTGGCTAAGCTGCAGCAGTACACTGCATGAAAAAATATCAGAAATTTCAGGTATGGACTTTTGGAATAGGCAGCATATATGGTTGTGCGTTATGTCTGCAGCAAAGCATTCATAATAAATCTCATGTAAAACCTGTAAAAAATGGGGGCCAACATCATGGAGCGATGTATTGAGACCGTGCCTTGTTTGTGTAGCAACAAACCAAAACAACAAAATGCTGCTTTTGCTTATACTGTACACACACTGATTGCATAAGTTAACTATGACATGAGGTGTAATATAAAACTTTACACTTTTCCAGTGTTTTTTCCAGTTATCTCATTCCAAAGTAACTATTTGACCTTAGATCAGTTACTAAACAATTGATGCTGCAGGATAAAGCAGTCCAGCTTCTGGATTTATTTAAAAAATGTTTTCTGTCTTGGGAAGATGTGACGCTGGCGTGTATTGTCCTGCATTTATCTTCACTCTGAGATGGTGGCTCCTTCTTCTATACAGTTTTGGTTTTTGTGCAGATGCTACCGTGCCTTACAACATAAACTTTGACAATTTGAAATCTAAAATGTTAGGTCTTCTTTTACATTTTGTTCCCTTTACCTTGATAAATCTTAATAAAATAGGATGAAATCTCTTTCTTTAGGAAGGAACTCTTATCAGTTTTCATTGCAGTTGCTGCCTGGCACTGGGCTTGTTAAAGTATCCTAAATCCTGTGTCTTGGAAAAAAATTCTCAGAGTAAATACGAAATTGTCCAAAGCTCCTTTCAGGTCATAGTCCTACAATAAACACAGAACCAAATCCCTAATTATGGATCACTTTGTCCATCCAAACTGAACAGTCCTGTCTGCTTTCTTAGCACACTTTTGGAACTAAAGCTTAAAAAACAGCAATTCACCTCAGGAATGTAGGGGGGATTTCCTGTGCGGAAGATCATCTGGTGTCTCTACTCTCACTGCACACGGTGGTCTCCTGTCTCCTGCAGTTGTCTTCGCTTTGTTTCATACATCCCACTTTTACTCCAGTCCTTTACCGATTCCTTACAGGTTCAGGGGGGTTTTCTAATCCTCCTTTCATGGTAGGAACTTTAGGCTGATGCTGATTACAGACCAAAAGGTTGATCTGAAAGGGTCTACAAGATGAGGGATATCCAACAATATCAATGACTTTTCTCTTGTTTCCTGATTTTTTTTAAAAACAAGATAAAAGACAACATAGCTGCAATATTATAAATAGTTTCAAGTAAAATAGACAAATCTGCTGTAAGTAAATAAAATAAAAGCAAAAATGGTACCCTTCTCTCTGGACTGAGCTACGATGTAGATAAAATTCACTGTTGTGGATCTTACTTTAGGTTTATTAGATACTTTTTGTTTGTTTCTTTAAATAATGTTAAGTAATTTTGAATTCCTTAATTCAATAACTGTTTGTATGTGTGTAGAAAAACCTAAGGGATGGGGATAATTGGTCTCTGAAATGAGCTGAAACTCGGTTAGTAATTTTTCTTTGATGTGGCTCATTTGACCAAAAACCTTTAAGCTTTGTTTTCGGTATGCAATCACGGATAGGTAACAAACGTAAGTGGGTTTCTCTGCCGCTGGAGGACGTCTCCCGGGATGACGCAGACAAGACATCTAGTGGGTGCGCTGCTCAGTCAGACACCGAGCTCATCAGCGACTCGTCTGATCCCACGGCGCCCAATCAAATGGTTCATGATAACAGAGCGCATTATGACAGCCGGAGTAAGTGGCGAGGAGCTCTTTTTTTTTTTTTTTTTTTTTTCGTGCTTCTGTTTGCTTCTTTTCTGTCCAGCTTGTCGCTCTTTACCCTCTGACATTGCTTTGTGTTTACTCACCACTGTTTTCTAACACCGGATCTTTTTCCAAAAGCATGGCTGAAAGCATGAAGTCTGTGTCATTTCACCTTTGCATGCGCTTGGTTTTTTTGATGATTAAAAAAGTGTATTAGGAGTTTTTTTTTAAATTGTACGATGTTAAGGTTTCAAATTAACTCTATTTTAGTACTACTACTAAGATAGACTTTGAACTTTGGAAAAATACCTTTTAACTTTAACCTCATGTGTTTAATAGGGCCTTCTGAAAGTATTCACACCCAGTTTTCATAGTTTGTCACATTTATTGAGGCTTTTATGGGGAAGACCAACAGTTCTAAATCATACCCAGTTATTGGAGCATCAGTCTCATCAAATCTGGGCTTTACAGAATGATTGGATTTTATCGGAAGCTTATATTCAACAATATTCTGTGTGTTGGAAAATAGTCCTCCATCACAAACTAAAAAAATGTCTTCAAAGTGGCCAGTTATAGTTTATTCCTAAATCTTGGCAGAATTTCAAACATTTGTTAATACATTCTTTAATCTGACTGACCTTGAACTATTTTTGCAAAAAAGAATGAGAAAAGTTTCACTGCAGAGATCTCAGTCTGTTGAGAATGTACAGCTGCTGTACATTTGACTATAAATGATCACAGAGCTTGTCTGTTTTTTATTTGGAAACAATTTTAAAAACTGCATCGTTCTACCTTTAGTATCAATATAACTATACAAACGTTCTTAGCTATTGACTCAAGGGGGCTGAACACAAAATTATCCATGCACCTCAGAGTTTTATTTGTGAAAATGTTTAATAAAAATAAATCCATTTGATATTTTATTAATTCACTGGGTTGGTCTGTCTCATAAAACAAACATATCGTTGTATCTGGTTGTAGTGTGAAAATATATAAAAACTCGAGGAGTATCAAGTATTCAAAAACTTTTCATAGGAGAAGCACTAAACAAAATGCAAATGTTTTCATTATTATTGTAGAAAATAGCTTCAGCAGCTGATATCTTTAAAATGTGATATAGATAATAGTGTCAAGATGCTGAAGCCTCAGAAAGCATTTAAAGCAACAGATGATAAAGGAGTTAGTAAAATGTGGATTTATGTTAATTGATTTCACCATCCCAACAATAAAAAATTATAATTCACTACGTCCTAATATTGTGCTGCTATACCTCTTATCCTCACTTTAATCAATGTTTGATTATTCAGGAAACCAAAGAAGCTCAATGAAGGGAATAACATGAATCATCTTTTACAGGTTGGAGAGCCGAGCCACGGGACCACGGAGACGATGGCGGCAGCATTCGGAGCGATGGCGGCGCTGGCCGTGGTGGACTCCGAGGCAGGGGGAAAGGACGTGGACGTGGGAGAGGTCGTGGACGAGGTGGACATTTCTGCTTTAATATTGACATCATTTTCAGTTCAAGTTGTAGGGAACCAGATTTGTACCGCCTCTTCTTTTCATGTTTAGTTCTGATCAGTGCATTTGCCTTCTTCCTGTTTACTCAGGTCGGTACGAATACTCTCTGAGTTACAGAGACTCTCACTCATCTGACGGCTCAGTTCAGGTCCCTGCAGACTTCAGTAGCAGCATAGTTTACTACTACGATGATGGCAACAAGGTCCAGATGTATACAGTGGATGAAAAGCTTCTTAAGGAATACATCAGGAGGCAAATGTAAGTGTTAACCAACACGTTATATAGACATTAACATTTAAGAAGCTTTAAAATACATTCCACCTGGAGCTCTATGGTACCGAATACCATCTTATGGAGATAATTACTAATAGCTTAATAAAACTTGGCCCTCGAAAATGCTCTAATCTTATAACATTTAAAATTAATACATACATAATAATCATTGTGAAATCTATCTTCTAAAGTACTCAATTACATTTTTCAGGGCAATTGGTCTTGGGTTGGAAATCTTTGCTACATTATTTTAAAATGCCTGATTGATGGATTTATTGTCAGGCCTAATGGGACCTATTATTTAAAACTATTTGGGAAGAAAACTTGTACTGTAAATTCCTGCTGTGATGCATGGCAGTGGAAGTATCATGGTATGGGGATACTAATTCACTGCAGCCACTGGGAAACTGGTGAATAGATTGGAGGGATGAAGCCCAGTATAGGGAATCCCTGAAGGAAGACCAAACATGTTACTGGAGTGAAGGATGTTCCCCTTTGACTAGGACATCAACTCTAAAGTTGCTGCCAGAGCTGCAGCTGAACCATTTTCCTCAGTGGTTCTCAATCCTGGAACCATGGGCCCAATTCCCCTCATGCTTGCATCAGAACACCTGATTCTAAAAATTACACCACCTCATGATGCAATCAAGGCAGTATGGAAAACACCTAAAACCTGCAGGATAGAGGTTCCACAAGATGAGGACTGAGAGCCACTGAGTTAGAACCATGAATAATGAGTTAGTTTCCCAAACTTAAACCCAGTTCTTATCCAGGTCCTAAGACATTTATTATGTAAAAACTTTACGCAGATTAAACAGAATTATTAGTAAATCAGTTTGGCCTGCAGGGGGCAGTGTGCTGCTGGTGTCTAGTTGACAGCTTTGGCCTCATTGAAGATGTGACTCCGGCCAGTGTGAGGTGTGCTCCTAAAAATAGATTGAGTGCTTCTAAAGGCACAGGCGAGGAATTAAATGCAGGCCTGAATGAGTGATGGTAGGGAATGGAGAGAGTAATGGGGGGGAAGAGACCGAGAGGGGGGGTGAGTGACAATGGTGAGAGGGGACATTCCTGTCCACTGCTTTTCCTCATCTCTGCACTATTCAGGACGCTCACTATATCACCGGTTTTATTCATGAAACGTGGTTCTGCCTGAGGCTGAGCTGGCACAAATATTTGTGTGTCAGGGTGTGACATGAAGTGATGCGACAAGCAGTAGACTGGGAGCAGCGAGAGACACAGAAAGCTCTCTCCATTTGGAGCTGTAGTCAGAATATCAGGTGAATAAGAAGAAAACAATTTAATAGTCCAGGATCATAGAATATTTCTAATGGCATATTTTTTGATACACCTCAACCAGCATCCTTTTAACCCTCCTGTTCTAAAAATAAAACCCTTAAATTAAGCTTCATTTATTAAAATAACCTATAAATGGAAACTATTATATTCTTCTGAAATACTGATATCAGTCTAAAATATTTAACATATTTAATTTATTGTACTGAAAGGGAAATAATTAATTTTTTTTATAGAAATTTATTTTTTTGTGCGTGTGTATTTTTTTGTTCGCTTTACCCTGATAAACTCCAAATCAACCAAGTGAATAGCAGTTTAAAGACCTAAAAACTACAGTTTGCTCGGAGAACAACCAACTCAGAACTGAAATGAATCCAACGGGGGCTTATTCGATGGAGGGGGGATGAAGCTTCAACTGGTTCAAGTTTTGTAAAGGAAAAAAAATCTCCATTAAATCAACTTTCCTAATTAACTTTCAGGTCAACCTGTGTTTGAATTTAACTCTGTTTAAATCCTGCAAATAACAAAACTGATGTTTGTCTGAGTGGATGTGTCTACAAATATCAAATAACCATTGGCTAGGCACAGAAGAACAACATATCATTTGTAAAGAATTTTGAAAACCAGCTTCAAATTTCCTTTTGTCACAAAAAAATAGCAATACAATTAACTGAAGGTTGTGGGTATATTGTAAAAAACAGGGGGGCATGTTTAAATAGTATGAATACTTTTACAAACTGCTGAAACACCATATTTTTACATTGATTTGCATAGAAACATCACCCCTGAATTTCAAGTTATCCTTTTGAAATCACTTTGAGAGAAAAGAACCCAGAAATGCAAAGTTTTGGGTTTTATGGACCAAATTCTAGAGCAAACTGGTTTCTGTCGGAGGATGACGCCACCCATCACACTATTTGCAACAGCGAGTTTGATCTGAATAGACTGACATCATTTATATCTAAACTGGTTATATCTATATTACCTCTTCTTCCAGTGAATACTACTTCAGCATCCACAACCTGGAGCGGGATTTCTTCCTCAGGAGGAAAATGGATGCACAGGGCTTCCTTCCCATTTCTCTCATTGCTGGCTTCCACAGAGTTCAGGCTCTTACCACTGATGTCAACCTCATTATGGAGGTAAATACCCAGCCCTGAAATGAATCGGTCAGACATGATTACAAATTATCTGGATCTTTTCCTGATTTGAAACCTGCTCATGAAATTATCTTTCCAGGCTTTAAAAAGCAGCACAGAAGTGGAGCTGGTGGACGACAAGATCCGCTGTAAAGTAGAGCCAGACCGCTGGCCCATCCCCGGCCCTTCCGTCGTGGGTTCCCCTCGCACCGACTTCTCCCAGCTCATCAACTGCCCTGAATTTGTTCCTCGACAGAACCTCAATGCACCCACTGCTGGTCAGTATTCATTTACCTTCTTCAGGACAGGGCTTCTGATTGGTTTTATCAGTTAGTTGAATTTTCGTTCAGGAAGATTACATCTTTCAGAAAATCTTGATTTTCATTTTTGTTGTCCTTCCCACCAATCCACTCCGCGGGATTCCACTGTTCATCGCTTTTTTTTCTTCGATGTGTACTCCTAAATGATAAGCTAGCTCACCGTGTGATACCACCAGCTGCAGACATTTAGTTTGTTATATTTTTATTTCAAAATCGTCCGGGATTTTGTTCGACTACAGTACACCACGTACACATCGGGCATTCGAGCCGAACCGTCAGCTCCGGGGCCGCTCCGGGAACCCCGGTGGGTGGGGGCAGGGAGCCAACGGGGAAAGGAGCGCCAGAACCTGACCCGGTTCCGGGCAGGAATCTACAGTTCCCTGCAGATTCCTGTAACCAATCAGCTTTTAATATATAAAAACAAAAGGGAAAAAAAAGTCAAAAATGAACAGTGAAGAGTACCAACATATGTGATTAGATCCAGTTTACATCAAATCCTCCAGAACTCCAAGGCAGCAAAAAATACACTTATTCTGATTTTATCTACTAAATGCTGCCGCCCTAAATATTTACTTGAGCAGAAAATGTGGATTAATTGATGCCAGGAGGAGTCGCCATCGAATGAACCTTCATGCTGCAGTTATTTCTGTCCTTAAGCCAAGCTTTTCTTTGTAGCAAAAAATTATTTTTTGAAACCGTTTATTTATTTACTTTATAGTTTAATTTGTCTCCTTTGGCATTTCTGTGGATTCATTTTTCTTGTCAAGAGATAATTAAAGGTGTTTGGTTGCAGGTTGTGTATTAATTTTGATGAATAAGTTAGTGTAAACGTGTCACATTTCTAGACTAAAACCTCTTCTAAGTGTTAATACTAGGAGTTTTGTCACAGAAGGCAGAAAAGGAGGGTAAAAGGTGAGAAGGCACAGTGATGTCTAGGCATACATTGTAGAAATGGAAGACTCCTTTAATGTCCTCAGTTTTCACATTGCTTTAATTGATCGTTTGGTTGTGCTGATAGCTTCTTGTTTATTTCTCTGGCCATTTTTAGCCACCTTGCCTGTAAATGAGCCGCTACTGGACTCAACGCAGCTACAGGAATCAGGTGAACCCGCCCCCTCCAACCAGGACTCTAACTCGGCCTCGGACAACTCCAAAGACACCCCCAAGTCTGACCCCAAACTAGACCCTGACGCCTGGATCCAAGTGGAGAAACGGCACCGTCAGACCTCCGGAAAATCAAAGGTAGGCTAATCAAAAAGGGTTGTAGGTTAATGAGCAACAGTGATACAGAACCGAAGTGGACAAGTACAAAAATAATTGTATTTACCCTTAAATGGCTGCAATTCATCTGAGATATAGTGTTTTAATTCTGCTAGAAAATTGAGCCAATCATCCCCATTATTAAAGTAACAGATGTTCTGAACTATTATCTCATGGTTTGTTTTCTTAAAACTAAAAAGAGAAAATGCATCAAAATAAAAAGCTTTTGATTAATGCATTCAATGACCCCAAAATTGTTGGAAATATTTGCTTTTGATGCAGTTAAATGGTAACTTTTGTACAAATTTTCATATTTAATTCTCCAATCGTGCGAGAATTTTTCAATCCGGCCGAGTTTTTGCCTCATCCTACGTCCTGCGTTGTGTAGTATAAAAGAGGTAAGGGGGCGGCTATCAGCCTCTCAGCCACCTGCCGATCAGGAATTGTAAGGTCCGGGGAAATCGAAAGTGTTTGAAATTCACTCGGCCATCATAAGGTGTTCGTGGGCAAATCCTGCTGTTGAAGCAGAGCTACGAGTATCTACGAGCCGATTTACCAGAACCTCAAGCACTGCACATGTGCACACAAGGGGGTTCTTCTTCTTCCAGAACGATGAGTGCGACCAGAGCCATCTCTCAGTGTCAGTCTGACGTCTAGTGTGAGCGGGTAGATCACATCAGAGCATCGAGAATGCCCGGCTTTAGTGCTGCCCTCTATTAGGGTATTCAGGTATTCTGTGCTTTTGATTTACCTCAGAACTGGAAGTTGGCCTGTCCTGTTTGGCCCTTTTTACAACCATAGCAAAAGCAACGGATTGTAGTTTTTATGCCCAAATGGCGACTAACTACATGAGGCTGTTCTCAAATAGAAATATTTTTAACTGAAAAGTTTGGAGCTTTAACCGTGGTTGACTTTAGGACCTTTGCAGAGGCTAAATTGCATCGGATTGGTGCACACTTACTTTAGGGCCAATTGATCAAAAAAACTGATCGGTAGCATTTGTTATAGCATTATCTTATCACCTTTTAGTCTGTAAAGTGTTTTCTTTAGGGACTTTGACTATTCAGGCAAATCAAATTTACTGTTGCTTCCTATTTCCTGAATATAACCCCACCTTACACGTTAACTGCCCCCTTTGGTAACTTTTTCAAAACTTGTCTGGTTGGTTGGGTCACGCTTTTACATAAACCTTAGTTACATTTTACAATTAGGACAGGAAAAAAATATTTTATTAGTCTTTTCACCTATAACCTATATGATTGAGGGAAAGAAAATTGGTGCAACTTTAACTAAACACATTATTTGTAGATTACAACAAAAAGAAAATCTTCTGGACTTTGATTTGTAGAATGTAGAATAAGTGAATGGAGCCAGATTACAACATAAAGTCCTTTGTGCTTTGACTGTAAGTTTGAGTCTGACTAGATGCAAATCAGACCACAGTGGAATGCCATGATAAATATCAGATTAAAGATCAAGAACTATGAGGAATCCTTAGCTAAACATAGCAATGCCTCAGTGAACAGTAGGGAGTCTCCTAATGAACTGTCATTCTTATTTAACCACAACAAATTCTGCTGATTAACATCCATCTCATCCCTCTTTCCTTCTGTGCCTCTCCTATCATTTGTCCATGTTTTCCGTCTCCATGTCATCCTTTCTCTGGCCGGCAGCATGACAGTGATGATGTGTGTGCTGCTGGCCCCTCATGCCCCTCAGAGCTCCAGCCTGACCACCTCTCCTCTCCTGTTGAGTACTTCTTACTTCAGTCATTCAATCATCCCACTTTGTCCTCCGCTTCTCCTTTCTCTGCATGTCTTCAAACATTTACTCATTCAGAATGGTTCAATTGTTTTTTTTTTTGTTTTTTTTCTTCAAAAATATTTTTCAGCCTAAAACTTTTGCGTACCTCACAAAAGTATTCATATCCTTGATCTTTTCCAATGTTTTTCATTTTACAACCTCAGACTTTACTGAATGTAATTGAAGTTTCAACATTATCCTGAACAGGCATCCTTACAGTGAAACATGGTGACCGGGATGATTAGAAGACTTATGCAAGCTAGTTTTACAGAAGTTAAACCTTTTACTGGGTGTATTTACCTGAACTAGAACCCACAGGTTCTGATGGAAAACGTCAGAGTCAATACTTAGAAATTGGTTATTGAAATTTTAACAGTTCTTTTTAAATCTTTCAAACCAACTGAAACATATATCTACCTATTGAGGGCATAATGCTACACTATTTGTCCTTAGTAAATGCAGAGACATACGATGCATACTAGAGGCAATCCCATTGTCTTTTATGTAGGTTTCTTTAGTTGCCCAGAATTTAATCTACCGTATTTTCACGACTATAAGGCGCACATAAACGTCTTTTTTTCCCCTCAAAATGTGCGGTGCGCCCTATGTGTGTTGCAACTGCGACTTTTGAGACCACCTCATTGAGGAGATGATGAAAGAGTGGCTGAATGTAAGGAGACCAGGTGTTTTTTTTTCCACTCATCACCATCGCTGTTAATCTGACTCCATGCGTGCCCATCTCACAGCTGATGTGAAAAACATGGTGAAACAAATTAATGCGCTCGCTGTGAACCGGACGCAGCAGGTGCAGCAGAAGCAGCGAGTTTACATGCAAAGTCAACGGTTGACGAGCGTATAGGCGCAGCAAAAGGTCCCGCAGCGCGTTTTGAGCAGCAGGCGCAGCGCGTCGGGAGCGCGCCGCCAACGCGAGAGATGGAAAAAATTGAAGTTTTGCTGCTGGAAGCGCCGCATCAACCAATCAGAGAAGCTGATCTGGGAGCTTACAGCGAGACAGACACATCGCTCTGATGACATATTAAGGCAAATGGAAAGGGCTGGATGGATGAGGAGATGATAAAAGCGTGGCTGAGGCAGGTGTATGTGAGGAGACCAGGTGGTTTTTTTCCACGCATCACCATCGATTTTAATATGTGACTCCATGCGTGCCCATCTCACAGCCGATGTGAAAAACATGGTGAAAAAAAATAAACGCTGTGGTCGCCGTTATCTCGGGGGTCTGACAAAGGAACTTCAACCGCTCGACATCGGTGTGAACCGGCCGTTCAAAGTAAGGCTGCGAGCGGCGTGGGAGCGATGGATGACCGACGGAGACCACAGTTTCACGATAAGTGGAAGGCAGCGCCGGGCAATTAACGCCACAGTTTGCGGATGGATTGTTGATGCTGGGACTAACGTGTCTGCTGGCTCTGTTGTTCAAGCTTTCGCAAAAGCCGGCATTATTTCTGAGGAGCCGCGCTGCACGGAAAGTGACTCTGACAGCGAAGAAGGGGAAACTGGCATGTCTGATTTAGCGCAGCTGTTTAATTCAGAAACAGAGGATGATGACTTTGATGGGTTTGATTAATACTTTGTAATAAATACATGAATAAAGCACAAACATACTCAGTTTTGCTCCCGCTCTATTTTTCTACCTGAAAACTTAATTCAACAGCAGCCTCTGGGCCGGGTCTCCTCCTCCTCACCGCGGTGGCTGGCAGGTGTTTTTTCATCTAAATAATCTAAATCTTGCAGCTATATTTGCTGTGATCAGTGGGAATAAAGTAGTTTTAATATGTTTTTAAGTGAGAAAGTCCACCTGAAAACTTAATAATTGAAGTTCATTGAAGTTCATCCAGATTATCTATTTCTGTCGGAGGCGCTCAGACCCCCACATACCAGCGGTGCACCGACAGTAGAAATCCCTTCATCAGCAGCCTCTAGGCTGAGTAGCCTCCGGGTTCATGCAGTGGCTGGCAGGTGTTTTTAATCTAAATAATTTAAACTGCAGGCACCAGGATACCGGTAATAAAAGCGAACATATTCTGTCGGCAGGTTTCAGGATTTTAAGTTAATTTAGGAGTGATCACAGCGCTGTGTCATCTGCGATGTGTCTGTCTCACGGTCAGCTCCCAGGTTTGATTAATACTTTGTAATAAATACATGAATAAAGCACAGTCATACTCAGTTTTGCCCCCGCTGTATTTTTAAATACGCAGTAGAGCTATTTAAAGGTAGTAGAGGACATGTACCGGTATATAAAAAACGCGCCCTATAGTCCGGTGCGCCTTATGTGTGTGTTAAATACAGAAATGGCACACATAACTGAGACTGCGCCTTTTAGTACGGTGCGCCTTATGGTCGTGAAAATACGGTAATTGAACATCTCTAGAGTGATCCAGAAAGGCTGAGCAGAGACCTCTCTGATGAAACATGGTGGCTGGATCAGAAACAAGTTTGTTCAAAGATAATTGGCTGCGCTTATCTTTTGGCATCATAGTCAGGAAGTCTAGAAGCTGTAAATACTGTGAATACTCTACAAAATCTATTTACCCATATTGGCAAAAAAAATGCTTTATCATAACAAAATATGGAAAAGGTGAAGCAGATGCACTGTTCATTGTTAGGTTGTTTTGCTAACAGCATTTAGCCTGGTCACTGAGCTTTTCAGTATTTCACCCTGGTTGTTTGGACTGGAATGTGGTTAATGATGGTAATGATCACTGGGTATGAATACTTATGCAAGACGGTAACCTTCCCCTTTATCTTCAGGTTTGGTTCTTCCCACCTTCACTCAATCTTTTCTAACTTTCTCCAGGGAGAATCCAAAGCCACTGCTCCGAGCAGTCAGCCTCCTGCTCAGGCTGAGCTGGACCAGGAGGAGCTGGACTTCATGTTCGATGAGGAAATGGAGCAGATGGCGCCCAGGAAGAACAAATTCACCGACTGGTCAGATGAGGATGACTCAGACTACGAGCTGGACGACCAAGATGTCAACAAGATCCTGATTGTCACCCAGACTCCTCCTTACGTTCGCAAACACCCTGGTGGTGATCGCACAGGAAACCACGAGTCCCGAGCCAAGATCACCGCTGATCTGGCTAAAGCAATCAACGACGGGCTGTACTACTACGAACAGGACCTGTGGAAGGGAGAGGAGCTGATCGAGTGTAGCAAGGTAAGATCACAGACATCAGTCATTAAGGATATCTTTTTATGGTAGCCTATTTTCCAAATTAAAATACATATATTAGGGTTAATATGTGCTTGATCCTCTACCTACAGTTCCCTCAAGCCTTATTGGCACCTCTATTAAAGATGTGTAGAAAAACTTTTATTAGAGCAGTGTGATCACACTTTCATTTGATTTATTATAATTTGCAAATGTATAGCACATAATGAAATAATATTTTTACTGAAACCAATCACTGATCTTGGATAAATGGTGGACAGCCTGTACAATTATTGAAGCTCAAAATACATATAGAATTGAATGTAATCTGCATAAAAGTATTAAGAAATATCATTAAAAAATATAATAATGCAGATAAAGGAAACAAACAACAGAGGACTTAAAACCAACCGCTGTGGAATGACACAGGTTAGAGAGGTAGTTATGGAGGTGTCCTTAATTGCCAAAACAGAGGACGTCATCACAGATACATTTTTACTTTAGTTCCATTACAAATGTCATCATAATTTGCTTTCCGGTCCTCTAAATTTGCCTGAAACCGCTATTTGATCAGCTGACTGTAAAATTCATCTTTTCAGCTGACATGTCAGCCGAGTTTCATGAAAAAACTTTTCTGTTCAGCTTATGTAGGTGTATGACATCATAAACTGTTTGAATTGCCAGATTTTAAGGAAATACTTAACAGCCTTTGCTTGGGAAACTGAAAACATGCTTTTCAAGTGATGGGGAGCTAAATCATGTGATCAAATTTAAACTTAAAGGATTGAAAAAACACAAAAATAACCTATTTCAATGGCAAGCTCAGTTCTTAAACTTTAATCCTTTAGAGAACCTACAGAACTGAAGACAGGGGAATATGATAGAGAACCTAGAACCCCGGAGAATCCAGAAAGGTTCTGGTCATCAATGATCCTTCTCTCTGTAATTATGTAGTGTTTTTTTCACTCATGATGGATTTCACTGATACCATTGTTTCCAACCGAAACCTCTGTGTACAGATAATCTAGAACTTAACATCAACTATGAGACTCCCAGAATTCCTCTATTTATTACCAAATCCAAAATACGTTGAAAGAAGTTGAAAGAGACTGAGGGCAAAAAGGCTTTACCGTGCTCAGCTTCTCTAGCATACTCAGAAAGTTTTGCGTCCCTTTATAGGTCATAGAATATACATTTTTCCTTTTTCGATTACCTTTTTTTAAAGTCTGTTGTTACTCAGAATCAATGTCGAATTACATCACTGATATTGAACGAGCTAACTTTGTTTTTCTCACCTCACTAATAGACGGCCTGCAAAATAGAGTTGTTTCAGCGACACGATAGGGCTCAATACTGTGGAGGGAATTTTTCTGCAAACAAAGAACATGTTTTGTAAAATGTAAATTTGAAAAAATGTAACTTATATTTAATTAAAAATGTTTTACTCATATTTAACTCACATTTTTTTATTTTCTCACATTTTGTCGTTTTACATATTTTATATAGTTTTTTTTTTTTTTTTTCTTTCTCAGATCCCAATTTCAAATTGCGTTTTATATAAAGCCACCAGCCAGGGCCAACCAAGATGAAACACATGGAAAAAATATTATCCAAATTGTAAGATTATGTGCAGTTTGGTTCCTGACATTTCTTTTATCAGTTAAAATTGTCATTCACGGTTATACCACTCATTTATACAAGCGTGTCTTTACCAGGGCTAAATTAGTCATGATTATTCCATTATTGAAATAAGCATTAATTAATTTAGTAATCCATTAATCCTTAACTGGAGTGTAGAGACTCTAAAACCCACTTAGAGGGGTAATTATACCAAAATTAAACAAAATATATATTCATAGTTTGCATTAAAGATAAAATGGCTTTTTCGTCTGTCAGTATGCTAAATCCAGAAATCCTCAAGTGGCAAATTTTGTTTCATTTGGTTTAATTCTGTAAAAAAAAATCTTCTGTAAAGAACTTAATGATATATATAAATGATAGATGAATTGATTAGCAAAATAATCCTACTTCCTTCTAAACAAGCATACCAGCCAGTCCGCTCATACAGTCACCTTTTTTCCATCTTTAATAAGTTACGTTTGAGCTATAACCTACTATTAAGAAGTTTGTAGCTAAATATTTGTGTTATTTGGATTTAGATAAAACATTTTGACCATCCGCAACAGTTGTGGATAGAAAGCCGGACCTGCTTTGTCCCAAACACCATGACATCCTCTCAGGGGTCTCTGAGGTTGAACTGATCCCCCTTTTGCTGTGTAAAGGAGGACTAAAATAAACGTGTACTGCACAAGCCCTTCGTATATCCGACAGCTGCGTCCATAGCTGAATGACCCGGTTTTAGAAAAGCTGCAGCATCTGCAGAAGCAGCGAATGTAAGAGCATTAGATGTTGGTCACAGAGCAATGATGCAACGTCATTTGTGAGACTTGCTCAGCAGAACTGTAGTGGATAAAATAGTATGTAGTCTCTCTAACAATGTTGTGCCATTTCTTTAACTGTTTTTTATTGCCAGACTGTGGTTATGTTGAAATGAATGCTTAAACCAATTTAATGTTTGAAATCCTCTAAATTCAATAATTCAGTTATAACCAAACATCTTAATAATGCAGGTTAATAAATGAAAACATATTTGTCTATTGTTACATCAAATTTGATCATTGCTGTTGATCAAATTGCAGTTGACTTGTACTGATCTTTCGATCAAGATAAAAACATTTCGACCTAAAAAATTCAGTTAGAAAAAGTGAGCATCCCTGATTATTGTGCAATAATTTATTCTTTCATTGCCGGTTACGAATTAAACTAAAAATACTACACAGCTCATAAGGAAGCATGATGTGAAAAAGCATCAAAGTGAATAAAAGCCACAACTTGGGGGAAAAAAACAGTGGTCTAAGTTTATAAAATGAAAATAGTCCAAAGAGATGTATGAAAAGAAAATGTGAATTTAAGTTTTTGAGTTTCTAATCACCAGTCATTGTGAAACGGGCTGCTTCTTTCTCTGATTTAATTGGTATATCTCTACTAAAAGTCAAATATGTATAAAAAAAAAAAAGTCTTTTTTATGAGGTAAATGTACATTTAAACTGTATATTACTGTATTTTGATGATTTTAAACAAATCAAATGCTTCCTTCTGTAACCATAAACTACAGCAATCATGTCCCTGTAAATGTGGCCTCTGTGCTGAAGTGTTTCCCTCACTAAGATCACTTATTCACTCATCATGGTCATCAGGAGCTTTCAGCAATGTCGGCTCTTTTTTGGCTCAAAGGTTGTGTTTAAAGCTTCCACGTGTGGGAAATCCCACGCCTGAACACACACAGCAAGGTCAAATGCAGTTTTTGTTTTTCACTATCATGCATGTGAGGCCAACGTGTAAAGGTCAGAGTCCACTTGACAGATGTTGTGTGTCACACTGATGCCTTCAGCCCATGGTATTATCAGGTGTTTGTATCTGCATGTTGGGATGTAATCAGCCTCAACAATCTGCAAGATCTCTGAGAGAAGAACTGTTCTGTAATTACAGAGAAGTAAGGAAAGGGCCCGATGCGTAGGTGCTGTCGTGCATTAATAATATTAAGGCAGAATTTTTTTTTATTTTATCTCCAGTGTTAACTGCTTTTAGGCCCCAGGTCTAAGATAACTGTTTTTACTAATAAGGAAAAAAGCAGCATAACGTCAAAACTTATGATTTTCTGTGATACAGTACCATGCAAAAGCATCAGCCCCCTTTTGCCAAATTTCAGGCTTCTAACATAAAATATAAAATTATAATTTTCCTGTGAAGTAAGACACAGTCATGAAGGGAAATTAAATTTGTTGGATTTTTAAAAATCTTTTTAATAAAAAAGAATGAATTAGCACCTTTACTTTCAGTACAGAAAACCCTATCCAGAAGTTCATTGGGGATCTCTGAATGATCCAATGTTGACCTAAATGACTGATGAAGATAAATAAAATCTACCTGTGTGTAATCAAGTCTCTGTATACATACACCTGCTCTGTGATTGTCTCAGAGGTCTGTTTAAAGCACAGAGAGCATCATGAAGAACAAGGAACACACCAGGCAGGTCCGAGATACTGATGTGGAGAAATTTAATGCCGGATTTGGATAACAAAGATTTCCCAAGCTTTTAACATCCCAAGGAGCATTGTCACAGCAAATCTACAAAGACCTGGACGTCCCACTAAATTTTTAGCTCTAACAAGGAGTAAACTGATCATAGATGCAACCAAGAGTCTGTCAGTCAATCCTCTAGATGAACTACAGAGATCTACAGCTGAGGTGGGGGACTCTCCATAGGAAAACAGGAAATCAGTCTTATACTGCAGAAATCTGGCCTTTTTGGAAGAAAACCATTTTTTTAAAGATATCAATAAAGAGTATTCTTTAAAGTTTGCTGCAAACCACCTGGAAGACACAGCAAACACTTGAAAGAAGATGATGTGGTCAGATGAAACCAAAATTTAACTATTTGGCAACAATACAAAACATTATGTCTGATGTAAAAGGAACACAGCTCATCACCCTGAACACACCATCCTCACTATCAAACATGGTGGTGGCAGCATCATGGATTGGGTCTACTTTTCTTCAGCAGGCACGAAGATGGTTAAAACTGATGGGAAGATTGATGGAGCGAAATACAGGGAGATTCTGGAAGAAACCCTGTTGGAGCCTGCAAAACTTCCAAAACACAATGATCCAAATCATAAAGTGAAATCTGTAATGGAATGGCTCTTAAATAAACATATGCATGTGTTAGAACGGCCTAGTCAAAGTCCAGACCTGAATTTGATCGAGAATCTGTTGAAAGAACAGAAAACTGCTGTTCACTAACGCTCTCCATCCAAACTGGCTGAGCTCAAGCTGTTTTGCAGAAAGAATGGACAAAGATTTCAGTCCCTCGATGTTCAAACTGATAAATAACCCAAGCGACCTGCAGCTGTCATCACAGCGAAATTTGGTGCTACAAACTATTAACTCAAGGGGGCTGAATAAATTTGCACACACAATTTTTCACTTTTATCTGTTAAAGTTTAAAATATCCAATAAATTTTGTTCCACTTTATGATTGTCTCCAACTTATTGTTGATTCTTCAAAAAAAAAAATTACAATTTTATATCTTTGTTTGAAGCCTTAAATGTGGCAAACGGTTAAAAAGTTCAAGGGGGCCGAATACTTTTATAAGGCATTGAATCCTGCTCGATGCTGTGATAAAAACTTTAAAATTAAAAAATTATTCTAGTTGTAAAATCTTATTGCTTTTGATTCATAATAAACCTAGTCTGCAAATGTCATAATAATTAATTTAAATAGTAGTTTTAATTTTATTTAGTTGAAACAATTTTTCTCTGATTTAGTTGGTTTTAATTAGTTTTTATTAATGTTAAGTTTTATTTTTGTTTTATTTAGTTCCACAACCAGTTTTAGTTTTTTAAACACTTCAGGTAATGTTTAGGTGCAGGATTGTGAAGAGTGAAAATAATGTATTTATGAAATTTTGCTTAAAAGTGATTAAAACCTCAACTCAAGATACCATTTATAAAAACCTTTAAATGTTTTTTTAAGTTTTTGTTTTTTTGAACATACATCTTAGTTTTTCCCCTTTTAAATATCAGTTAGTGGAAATGTCCAGATAACATTTACTCCATCCAGCTGATGAAGAAAAGTTTATCTCTATTAAGGAAAACAAGGTTTATTGAAAAAGTTGATTTGCCTCTCACTGTAACTGAATCGCAGTGTAACCAAAACTTATTATAGGCGTAAAGAGTGTAAACGTGTGATACCTGAACCAAAATCTTTTTTTTTATTTTTTTTTATTTATTCATTCCTTTATTTAACCAGGAAAAGTCCCATTGAGATTAAGAATCTCTTTTTCAAGGGAGTCCTGGCCAAGACAGCGGCAAAAGAATACATTACAAATTACATTACAGTTTACAATTACATCTATCTATAATTAGAAATTCATAAAACAGTTACAAACCATAGATCTCATTTCCAAACCTTTGAGCAATCGTTTAAAATGTCCGGTTGGAATCAAGTCCTTCAACTTCCTTTCTGGATTCCAGTTGTTTTCTTTGCAGTGTGCATCAGATATATTATTCCTTTAATAACCATAACTGAGCAGCCTTGTTTAAAGCTCTGATTTATCCTCTCCAGCAGGATGTGGAGAACTTCAAGAAGCTGAATGTCATCAGTAAAGATGAGTTTGACACCCTCACTCCCAAAGTGCCTGTTGACTCAAACCAGGAAGTCCCAGCTCTTCCTATGCCAGGTGGGTTTAAAGAGCTCCTCTGTAGATTGTTTCCTCTAAGCTTCCTGCATTGGATACATTTAAGATATTCAGACATTATATAATTTGTATATCGTCCATATTAATTATATAATTATTATGAACTGGATTTATTATGTGGAGGACAAATGGTGGTAATAATGCAAACAAAAGTTTCCTAACTGCATTCAGTAACATGTTAGCAATTATTGACATTTAACGGTTTCCAGTTTCACATGAACTCTGATAAACACACACTCTGATAATAAGACATTATCATTCGAGGGGAATTAAAGACAGAATGTATGGCTGCCTTCACAGTGGACGGCGGAGCAGATTTGGCTCGCTCTCTTCCTGCAACAGTTCCCGAGTCCCCCAGCACTTCTCAACCGCGGACCCCCAGGACACCGCGCACGCCTGGACGCCAGGATCCTAACAAGGCTCCACGCTTTTACCCGGTTATGAAGGAGAGTGGCGCCATTGATGGACAGGTGAATGTTTTTCCACATCTCATAACTTGAATGTTTAGATGTCAGCAACAAATGCTGCATAATTGCTCTATGGGCCCCCATCCCACAGTAGAACCACATCCACTGAGCACACGAATGACCTTTTCCAGCTCTCACTGCTGCCGGCCCTCCATTCTTTCAGTTTTACACAACTAGAGGCAGCTAGTTCTACATGGACTCAATCTTGGATGACATTTTCCTCCAGGTTTAGATTTACCGGGATAATCCTAATCCATGCTTTAATCTAATGTCCAACTGTAGCTCTAGCTTTTTGTTAAGGATCATTGTTCTGCTCTCTCCTGTGTTTAACTTCTGTCTAATAATTAAGTTTGATCACATTCCTTCTTCCTGCTTAAGAAAGTATGATGCTGCCACCACCAGGTGTCAGTATGGATTTAGTTGTGCTCTTGATGCTGATAGTTCATTAATGCTGCATTTTCAGCCAATCTCCTTTTACCCGTTAGTATGTTAAACTCAACTGTCTTTGTGTTGGTTATTGTTTTATATCCTCTCTCTTCATGATGTTTATTTCACTTCTCTAAAATACCTCTTTGGTTTTTCAAAAACAGTTTTTATACTGAGAAAAACTAAACCAAAGTATTCATTAATTAGCTGACTTCTAAAGACATGAGGTTAAAAATAATCTACATAGTTCAGACCAATCAAGAATAGTCATCAGACCCAAATTTGAAAATTTTAAATTTGTTTACTTCCATTGCATTTATGTGCTCTCACTTGTTCTAAAACTATAAATAAAACAAAGTCTACAGATGTATTTAAACAACCTGCTTTTTTTCCAGATGCCGAGAAAGAAGAAGACCCGCCACAGCTCCAACCCCCCTCAGGAGGCCCACATCGGATGGGTGATGGATTCCCGTGAGCACCGACCGCGCTCCGCCTCCATCAGGTCCGTCTGCCCTGCCTCACGAGTCGCATTTACAATAACAACACTTCCTCTTTTTTTGTCTACGTCAAGTGCTTAAAGAAGATATATTCTTAAAACTTAACTGATATTTTGACCATCTTATGCAGTGAACACTTAAACATAACTACAGGAAGCAATTGGAGATTCTTACTAAAATGAAGATTCAGTTCAGTTTCACTTTTGAAATTATTAAAGTTTGCGTTGAGATTCTTAGTATTTTATTGTATTATTGCTGATTTACAGAGAATTAATCATTTTGTTTGTGTCATCGATCCACAGCAGCTCCAACGCTTCTCCATCAGAAGGAGCTCCACTGTCAGGAAACTACGGCTGCACTCCCCAGTCTCTGCCTAAGTTCTGGCATCCATCGCATGAGCTGCTGAGAGACAACGGCTTCACCCAGCAGGGATATCACAAGTACCGCCGAAGGTGCCTTAATGGTAAATAGACCAGCAGCTCAAACCCGCCTGTTCTTTGCTTTAACAATGCACGATGACGACCTCAATTTGCTGTTTTTGTCTTATTTCTTTTTTTCTCCAGAGAGAAAACGGTTGGGAGTGGGCCAGTCTCAGGAGATGAACACTCTGTTCAGGTTCTGGTCCTTCTTTCTCAGGGACAACTTCAACAGAAAGATGTATGAGGAGTTCAAACAGTTTGCACTTGAAGATGCCAAAGAAAATTACAGGTTAGATGCACATTAAATGACGTTTTGAACTGCATGTAGATGTTTATATTGCTTCAAGTTTATGTTTACAAACCAATCTGATTGAGATGAAACCTGGAGACCAAGAAAACTTAATAGACACATCCTAAATGGAAATGCAAATCCATTTTAAAGTGAAGTTTTTGGCTTTTTGTGTTGCACAATGATCATGGTGGACTCTAGTTGGATATGCTCAGGAGAATCAAAAAATCCGATCTTTTTCTGATAAGTTAATGCACCATAAATGCTCTGACAACACACTGGGTGTGGTTGATGTTCCTGGATCTTTGTTAATATCAGTTTGAAAGTGAGGTCTGAGGACTCAGAGCTGCAAAAGAGCTTCAAGATGAAGCTGTACCTGTAGCTTGTTAGGACTTGTTTTCAATTTATTCAAGACTTAATGCAGATCAAAGGAAGGTAAAGTGGATTTCCACATGATAACTCCATATTCTCCATCTGAACTTTCGGCCACTGTCAGGAAACACTAATTCTCTGCACTTGATTGGAACACTGGGAGTCAATCCACAGTCTTTTGGGAATATACAAAGATTGCTGTTTTAGAAACTTCAACCTTTCAGTATTAGAAGATGCTAGAATTGGTTAAAAATGTCAACTTAGCAGGTATTTTGTTTTTGTTTTAGATTACTGTAAAACATAACTTGTGGCCATGCCTCCTGCTCGTGATAAGAAAAGAGAAAACGTATTTTCAAAGCTGTTCTTTTATAATTTTAACCCATAATTTATTAGACTTATCAGAATTGCATAAAATGGATCTCAGCAGTTTAAATCTTCACAAAAAAGAAGATGGGAAACTGTCCCCCAACATCTGGTGATGGCGAGTGTCACCAGGCTGTTGCAGTGTGTGACTGTATCTGACAGCACAGGGTGGAGCTGCGTTTGTTGCTCTTTCTGCCAGAGGCGCCTTCTCACACCTGCAAAACCTACATTCTTGGCTGAATCCGCAACTGGCTCTGTTTTACACAATAAGCTCTCAGCTGTTTTAAAATACTTCCCATCATTGCATCCAGCTGTCTGCTCCTGCTAGCAGTAGTAAAGTTCATCTATTGCTCCTCTGTTAGATTATTGTAATACATTCAGCTCATCAGCTAAAAGAAACATACAGTACTAGCTTAATGAAAGTCAAACACGATTTTAGTGACATCTTTGCTCTAATTCTTAAACCTTAAGGTGATAAGCATTTTTAAAAAATACTCTTCTTAAAACCACTTCACCTCATGAGGTTTGATTGACGTATTATCAAATAAAGAATATCAAAGAGTTCGTCCTGCAATTGAAGGGTTGTTGGTTCAAACCTAATCTTAGTTGTGTCCTTGAGCAACACACTTCACCCGCCTTGCGTATTGACCTGTCCCTGGGCCTGTGTAGGGCAGCCTTGCTCCTGTCCGCGTGCCCCGGTGAAGCTGTGGCTACGATGTAAATCTCTTCATCATTAGTGTGTGAATGAATGCATTGTGAAGCACTTTGAATTTCAATTAATTAAAAAAAGGTGTAACATAAATGCAGGCCATTCCCCGTTGACAAGAGGCTTTTAGCTTCAGCTTTAACTCCTGCCGGCCATTAAGTGGCGCACTGGAATTCGCCCGCTCGCCTTCCATTTAACTTTATCAGAAGAAAAGTAGCCACTCTGAGGCTCTTCTTAACCATGTTTAAAAGCTTGACTGACATTCATTTTCATTTTTTGGCCTAAATCTGAGAAATAAAACCCTGAGAATTAATTTCTCAGCTCCATAATGGAGCTGCCAGGATCTGGCAACACCTGAGCTCTGTTTTATATGACCTGATCTTCTATGGGTGCAGAAACATTTCATGTTGAAGTTAGCATCGTAACCAAAAGTAAATGTTTTAGAGCTGTCAAAATTAATAAAGCAATTATTTATATACTATATATATATACTTTAATTCTGCAATACTCTAGACATTCTGTGGATGTTTTGTTAAAAAAAAAATCATTTAATGACAAAGTTGTAACTAAGACCTTTAATTGTGGAAAGCTGTGAAGACGAAGCAAACTTTACCATAATTGGCAGCTACCAGTTGGGGAAATCGCCATATTTTCACGCTTATAAGCTTTATAATTTTTCTGTTTTCAAGTGGGAATGCTTATGCATTCCCACTTATTGTTTTTCACTTTTAATTTTTCTGACTCTAACTAGTCCCGCAGTTTTCAACTGATTTCAACAATTTTGGTATCAAAACGTTCAGCTTGTTCAGGAGAATTCTGCTATGTCTTTTGGTAAAGATATTTTTTGTAGTTTTCGCGATATTCAGCTTTTTCTGCGTTTTTTTTGTCCCATTGAAATGCATGTAGAATTCTTAGATTTCAGCAAAATTCAGCTAAACCTTCAGCATCTTTGACCTTTAACTACTTCAGCATACTTTCAGCTAGAAACACCATTCAACTTTTAAAATGTTTCCGTATCTTTCTGCTATTACTGTTTAACTCAGCTTTTTGCTAACTTTTACAGTTTTGCTTCAGTGAAGCTTCAAACTTTTAAACAATTTTTACAAATTTTCAGATTTATAATGGAAGTCTATGGACGGAATGTTCAGCTGCTAGAGTGTGCCACTCTAGCGTTTTCAAACATTTCACTCATGCCGAACAGCTTCAACTCACTCGCTCATTTTTTACTCTATCTAGATAAATTTTACATCAAAACGTAGGGATTTTTGTCAGGATTCAGGAAATGTAACCCTCATTTGTGTGGCATTTACGGTTTTCCGACAGTTTGGCCCAGACCACGAAGAAGTCCACACTTCCCCAATAGAAAGCCAATGAGAGCTCTCTGAAAATCCGAACTGAAAATTCAAAAAAACAGACTTTTTCGTATCGCTCCCATTCGGGAACCGTTCGACGTAGCAACATGAGCCTTGTGGAAGTTGTTCCTCAGACCTTCCTAGCACTCACATTGAAGGAAGTGTGTCGATATCTTTTATCGTTTAGCTAGGAACAAGGTTTGTTCGGGGGTAACAAATCTGTCCGAACCCCAAAATCAAGATTTTGACAATTATACACTTTTTTACATCGTCACCACGCCTAGACGAAATATTGTAGAAATATGAAAGTTACACCAGTTGTAGTCCAAAGATGGCTGACGCTCACGGTGAAAGAATTTTTTGAATACCTAATACGGTTTTGGCTCACCGCTCGTTTGTTCGGAGGGAAAGTTTTGCTTTTGAGAGTTCTGCTCTACCATTGTGCTGCATGTTATTCAATTAGACCAGCAGGATTTCTCAAACCTTTTTATTCCTCCTTCCCATTAATGTTGTGAATGAGCTACATCCATGAAAGTTACCCCAATTGGAGACAAAGGATAGCTGTTGCTTAGACTGAAAGAATTTTTTGGATACCATTTACGGTTTGTCTTCAGCACTCGTTTGTTCGGAGCTGCTATTCCCATTCAAAAAAGCCTGAGAGGAAAGGAACGAAAGTGAAGTGCGTTTCTCTCTCTCACTGACAGGCTCGTTAAGCGTTGTCAAGGTAACCGTGCTTCAAAGAGATTTTACCTCCACCACTTTAAACAGCACATTTTAATCTAATGGAGGGAGACAACACTGATTTAACATTAGGAAGTGGATACAATATGACTACTGGCCATGACCCTTCCCTTCACACGCAACCCTGATAGACTTTCAAAATAAGACTCCGGGGACCCTTCAAAATAAAAGCCCCTACATTAAACTCATATTTTTTTTCCCAGCATATGGCTCAACATTATGACCCAAACTCAACCACTTTAAAAAAAAATTATACTCTAGGGGGGGTTTCATAACACACCCCACAGCAAATTTCAAAATAAAAGCCTCCCATTTCCACTTCATCTACTGCCCTAATAACAGGGGGAAAGAGTGATTTAAGGATTGAAAAGTCATCAAGTATCACTGCTGGGTCTGACCCTTTTCTCAACACACAACCCTGCTAGACTTTCAAAATAAGACTCCAGTGACCCTACAAAATAAAAGCCTCTATATTATACTTGTGTATTAATTGATGCAAATGGCTCAGAATTATGACCCAAACTCTACCAGCTTGATTCTATTAGACTCTAGGGACCTTTTCACAACATACCCCAGAGCGAATTTCACAATAAAAGTCTCCCATTTATGCTCTAATATATTATCTATTCACCCAATAACATGGAAAACCAGTGATTTCATATTTAGAAATGGATTCTATATCACTGCTGGGCATGACCCTTCCCTTGACACACATCCATGATAGACTTTCAAAATAAGACTAAAGGGACCCTACAAAATAAAAGCCTCTTCCTTATGCACACTCATTCATTGTGCAGTATGGCTTGTAGCTATGACCCAAAGTCAACCAATTTCTTCAAATTACACTACCAAGGCCTGTTGACCACACACCTCAGTTTACATTTCTTAATAAGGCTCTAAGATTTACACTGTAATAAAGCATCTGCTAACCTAGTAACATGCAGCCTAAGCCTGCCAACTGTGCTTTCATCACCACAGCGGCTCGTATTATGCAGGTTCGTTTTTTTTTTAATAAATTCAGCTCCTTAAGTGGTATTAGCTCTCTTTCTATAAGCTTCTCTCTCTGTTCTTCCTCTGCTTCTCATGGTTAGTCTTGCACATAGGTTTGTAAATTTTCAATCCTCAAATGATGACACTGTTTTCTTTATGCTGATCAACATTTTTTGATATCATGTATGGTTTGACTGTGCAGCTTTTAAGATGAGTTTGTTTCTGCCATTTTACTGCCAGATGTTTCTACCCTATAAAATCTTCAGATGATTCAATTGTTTTCTGCAGTTTGAAGTTTCTAATGACTTCCTATCACATTTTTATATGTTCTGCAGTTAATTTCAGCTTTTTTCATTCAGCAAAAGCATTCCCACTTTGATGTTTCTCCGAAACAGCTTTTTCTAGTTATTATTATTATTATTATTCCGTACGTTTTTGGTCGTTAAACTACTTCAACAGTTTTCAGCCCACTTCAA